TTTACCTTTTAATTTAACTTGTTATTTTTCTTAATTAAGACAACTGGAAATTACGTAGTACCGAAAGGGCGGTTCAAGAGTGCTAATCCTTCCTTAACCGTAACCGACTCCCGAGCCCGACATATTTCTGGTAAGACGCATATCAGGTAAGAAATAGGGTATCCGATCAACCCATTTATTTTTAAATAAATGATCGGTGGCGACTCTAATCCACATTTTTCTAAGTCGAAGCCCCGGGGAGGAAGACGGTTTGCGACACATCGGAAACAAACAACAGTCTTTAAACGACGAAACGTGGTCCAGAGTCCACACCTGGGACCCAGGTGCTTGTTTTATGGCTGGAACCAATAAATCTGTCGCTGAGTTAATTTAGATAAGGCAACGAGTAGGATTTTTGATCCATTTAAATTTAATTTAATATTCTAATAAATAAAGTTTTATTCTCGTCAAACATGATTTTCGACCTATTAGGGTTGCAATCAGTGATATTAGGTTATAATTTTGTGGAGTTGTTAAAGGTTGAACCATTCATTTGTTTAATTTGTATATTCAATTGTTTTGTTCTCAGCATTTTATTTCAGAAGAAAATGTATAGAAATATGATAAATAATTAAGTTTATAAAGTAAAGATAATCAGGCTGAGAGTTCATATACATTCACACGACTTTTGCATGTGCACAAGTGAACCTATTAAAAGTCCAAAAGGAATTAGGCAAAATTAGGACATTTGCCGGTCCAAAAAAAATAAACTAAAACTAGTATAGGATATATGTTTTGGGAGTAGGTAAGCCGTATGTATGTTGAAACTTTGCATAACAGCTAGCCTGGCTACTTGGTTTCCCTCTTCATGTGGATTTATAATTTGGGAATCATCAAGCTCGAGAAGAACAACGCGGTTTTTAGCCAAGTCTAAGCAGTTGACTTCAATTTATTAATAAATAGGTGCTCCCCATTTATCGTTCTCTAATATTCGATATTCGATAAATAAGATTTCGAGTTTAAATTTTATAAATAAAAAATATTGGAAAATAAAAATCAAACATGACTTTACATATGTCATACCAGGAGTAGAATCAACCGAAGCTACTTTTTCCCTGTATATATACCACCTAATCCTCCAATGCAAATCATCGAAATCAGCTCAGTTTGATCTTCCTTTTGTTAAAAACCATGGCTTCCAAGCTGATATGTTCTCTTCTAGTTATGTCTCAGCTCGTTCTTCTTCCTTTGTTCATACATCCTTCTCTTGCTCGACACTCTCCCATCGGATCCGGTCTCGCCCGGATCCATTTGTAAGTCCACCCCGGACCCTTCTTTTTGCAGATCCGTTTTACCTAATCAGACCACCAATGTGTACAACTCTGGTCGTTTCTCTGTTCGTAAATCCCTGTCACAGTCCCTGAAATTCCTCAACTTGATCGAAAAGTACGTCCAGAAATACCGTCCCTCGTTGTCGGTATCGGCGATTCGTGCTCTAGAGGATTGCCAATTTCTAGCAGGCCTCAACAGTGATTTCTTGTTGAGCTCCTTAAAAACCGTGAATGCTACTAGTTCAACTCTGTCCCTTGTCGAAGCTGACGACATACAAACATTCCTTAGTGCTATTTTAACGAATCAGCAGACCTGTTTGGACGGCATACAATCCACGGCTTCAGCTTGGAGCATAAGGAACGGCATCTCGGTTCCGTTGTCGAATGACACGAAGCTCTACAGCGTGTCGTTGGCTCTATTTACCAAGGGCTGGGTTCCTAAGAAGAAAAAGAAGGCTGCATGGCAGCCTAGTAGCAAGCAGCTGGGATTCAAACACAGGCGTTTGCTTTTAACAATGTCAAGCAAGACACGGTCAATTTACGAGACCGTAAGCCGGAGGAAGCTTTTCAGAAGTCAGGACGGTAGTGGGAATTTCACCACCATTAACGATGCCATATCCGCAGCTCCGAACAACACCAATGGTGTAAAGGGTTACTTCATGATTTACATCACTGCCGGTGTCTATCAAGAGTACATTTCCATTGCTAAGAACAAAAAGTACTTGATGATGATCGGCGACGGTATCAATCAGACAATCATCACCGGAAACCGCAGCGTTGTCGATGGTTGGACAACATTTAACTCTGCAACTTTAGGTAAGCCTCAAGTTAACTAAATCTGAACATGTCTAAGCAAAATGAACTTAATTATCTGACAAATTTTGTTCCATGTCATAGCTGTGGTGGCTCCAAACTTTGTTGCGGTCAATATAACTTTCCAGAACACGGCTGGGGCAATCAAGCACCAGGCGGTTGCAGTTCGAAACGGGGCCGATTTATCAGCATTCTATAGCTGCAGCTTCGAAGGATACCAAGATACTTTATACACTCATTCTCTAAGGCAGTTCTACAGGGAATGCGATATCTACGGCACAGTCGACTTCATATTCGGAAATGCAGCCGTCGTATTCCAGAATTGCAACATATATCCTCGACAGCCGATGAGTGGCCAATTCAACGCTATCACAGCACAAGGCCGGACCGACCCAAACCAGAACACGGGAACATCGATTCATGACTGCAATATCATGGCTTCTGCTGATCTAGCCTCGAGCAATACGAGCTTCAAAACGTATCTAGGGAGACCATGGAAGGAGTATTCAAGGACTGTATACATGCAGAATTTCATGGGAAGTTTGATAGACACTGCTGGTTGGAGAGAATGGAATGGAGATTTCGCGCTGAATACGACGTACTATGCCGAGTACGACAACAGCGGACCGGGCTCGAACACTTCGAGTCGGGTCACATGGTCCGGTTATCATAAGATTAATGCCACCGATGCTGCAAGTTTTACGGTGTCGGGCTTCCTGGTGGGAGACGACTGGTTACCGGATACCGGAGTACCCTACACTGCAAGCTTATTAGTATGAGCAACTAAGCAACAGATGAAGAATTTGTTTGTTCTTTCGATCATTGTTTTTACAATATATAATAAGCGTGAAAAAAAAACCCCTGCGCTATTCGAAATGTAATGTTAACAGGTAGCTAGGTTTTAATCCATTGATTCACATTCTTGCAATTCTTAATTTGAAAAGAAAAATGCAATAAGTCTATTTTGGTCATCTATAGGTCCTTTATACTAACGTCGATCTAAAACATCGTCCCGCGTTAGTTGAACGTTACAAAATCACTGAAATATTTAATTTCACTCATCTGAGAGAGTGTTTTAGGTTAAATTCTTTTTTTCTTACATTATACTTAAAATTTTATTTTGATCTCTTTATTACAAAAAATATTATTCACATATATTTAAAAAGTTAACATTTTATTCGAAATGCTAAAATAGTTTTTTACATAAAATTTGTAAGACAGTTACGAAAACTAAATGTAAAATTAATTTGTAATATAACTCCAAATTTCGTACCAACAATCAATTTGTCTAGTAGAATGATGTACTAGTTCTCTTAAACAAAATCTGGAATTTGAACCCTGATGTTTTAAAAAATAACATTAGAAGAATTAATTCTAATTTTATATCATTTATAATTTATTATATTTCTACATTTGTTCAATAAAACTCAATTATCAATTACAAGGAAATTTCGTACCAACAATCAATTTGTCTAGTAGAATGATGTACTAGTTCTCTTAAACAAAATCTGGAATTTGAACCCTGATGTTTTAAAAAATAACATTAGAAGAATTAATTCTAATTTTATATCATTTTTATAATTTTATTATATTTCTACATTTGTTCAATAAAACTCAATTATTATCAATTACAAGGATGAGTCTAGAGTATGTGACACATATTGATATGCACTACTAATGATGTGCATCGATATGCACCACTAATATAAAAATATGATAAAATTCATAAACGGTAATTAAATTTATTAAAATGATTTCATTTGTTATTGAATTTTTAAAAGTTATAAAATAGACAATAGATAGCAAACCGTGAAATGTTGTTAAGGGGGTGCAGTGTCATGCTAAATTAATAGGAAATATCTTATTTAACCCCTCAATTATAACTAAAATTCCATTTTTGATATTTTTTTTCAATATTATTAAGTAATAATTTTTAAAATAAATTAGAAAATTATAATATTTAAAAAAATACATGGAAATAATTTATTTTTTAAAATTAAAAATTATAATTTTTTAAATTTATCAATTTATTTTAGAATTAATTATTTATTAATCGTTATTGTATTTGTAAAATAAAAAATTTATAATTTTCGATATCCAAAAAAATTGAATTATCAAACAATGTAATTATTTTTTATTAAACGGCGTTATTCGAGCACTTGTCTTTTGTTTAAGAAATTTAAACACAATTTTAAAAAACAAATTCAAAAAATTATAGTATCACGTTAATAATAAAAATACGTCCAAACTTAAATAAAAATAATCAAAACAATCCTTAACTTTTAATAATGAATCAATTAATTTATATAATATAAATTCAATATTTATAATAATATGACACTAAAAATAATATTTAATATCCATTTTGTTTTCAATTCAATGAACATAATAAAAATTATTTTTAATTAAAACTAATAGTAAAATAAAAATTTAGTTACAATTAAAGGGTCAAATAAGATATTTTCTATTAATTTAGCATGCCAATCACATCTTTAGTGATAGATAATGGCATTGTGCCCATTTTGTAACAAAATCTAAAGATTAATGTCTATTATATAACTTTTGAAAGTTTGGTATCTAAAAAATTATTTTGATATAATTTAATGTCTATTTATGAATTTTACTTTTATAAGATTAGTGGTGAATATCAATGTTTGACATTCATTCTAGAATTTTCCCAATTATAAATAGAATAGCAAAAGAAATTTAACACAAATAATATTTTATATATAAAACATTATAAATATTAATTTATTATTTATTAACCATTCAAACTTAAATTCTATTGAATGTTAAAATTAAAAATCACTATACAAACAGATTACAAATCATAAATATCAAGTTGTAGAAAGTAAGGAAGATGGAGGAGTATGCAAGTTAATTTGGAGCCACAATATTGGCGATGTCGTAGGCAATAGAACACAGTTGACGGAAGATGTTAGCCTTGTTAAACAGCTCCAGATCTTTTCCTCCGCTTTGATTCAACAGCATCGCGCACGCGTCGGCATCGTCAATGGCAGCTCCCATCTCCGTTTTCAAATTTTTGAAATCCTTCGATGTGATGAGTTCCAGGGCATCGTCAAGTTCCTGCATCGCGTCATCGAAATTTTCCGCGCAATCTTCAAAGTTCTGCTCTACGGAGGGTCCTAGATGTTCCCTATCCACGAGCGTGTTCTTGATGAAGACCGAGATGGCCGAGCCGTTGTTGGAAGCGACGTTGATTGCTATCAATCCGACGGCGGCTATGTCCTTGGCGTCTTGGCCGGCATGCTCCGCACTCAAACTCGAGAGACACAGATTCTTCTCCCTCACTTTTTGACAGACTTCGGTGACTATTTTATTCTCGGGAGCAGCGTTGTTCAATAAGAAGAAAGAGGAACAGATGAAGAAAGATAAAGGCAATGCAACATTATTTTTCATAGATTTCATTATTTTTATCTCTCCTTTGTAAATAAAACAATTCACGATTTTTATAATTTATGTGTAAAATTCGTTTAAGAAAATGTATGTTAAAAACGAGAATTCTCTAAAGAGTGCCTTTAAAGTAAGCGCTAAGAATGGTGAAAAATATTAACAATCAACCCAAATATGAATGCATGTACCCTTTTAATTAATAGCAACGGTTATTTTTAGACTCCGTGGGTGTGACTTTGCTTGTTGTTAGGCTGAATTTGGTCAGGATTTTGAGGCCATAGATTCGCTAACCTTAGCCATACAGTCCCACATCGACCCATTAGTATGCATGTGGTGCAAAAAACAATCACGTCCAGACAGGGACGAAATTAGTTAGTACTTTTTTCTTTGGGGGAGGTTGTTTAGGAACCTCAAAGTAAAACAATGTGGGGGGGGGGGGGAAAGGCTTATTTGCAAAATATTTAACTGTCTAGACCCCAAAGTTAATTAAACCATAAAAAATTGGGGCATAATTCATCCATGAGCGAAGGTAAAGGGTTGGTAGAGGTTATGGTTCTTCAAATGGTTAAACTTCAACCTTAATTCCTTTTAAAATTTATTAACAAAACTAAAATAATAATAAAGTTCTAATTGATAATGTATGTACATTTATAAATATAATGAATTCTGAGATATCTAACCATTTAAGAGTAAAGAATCGGTAATATCTTGCAATATTGGTAATATCTTGTCTTATTAACGTTCGTTCTAGGAGCAGCGAAATTTTGGGTTAAATCAGCGCGTACTATGGAATTGATACAATCACTCAAAGACGGATGCCATTTCATATATTCTACAAGCACACCATAAATGCTTTCTCCCCAACTTTATTTCGTAACTATCCGTGAATTACGAGCATAGTCCATTCATTGCCAAAACTAGAATATGAGTAAACTACAAATTTCATCCTTCAGCTGTTGATTATATTATTGTTTTGATAAAAAAATATTGTTCTGTTTTTAGTGTCTCCAATGTTAGTTATTTGCATGAATTAATTTATCTCATTGGTTAAATAATCGTTATTGTTTTTAGAGGTTATGGGTTCGAGCATCATCGAGTGCAAGGGTGACTAAATATTCATTGTCAAATGGTTGACAATATTTATAACAAATATCACTTTGTAATTAACTTTAACTTAATCAAAAAATAATGTTAATTATTTAATTATGACATCTATCTTTTAAAATTTATGAAAAACTCCGAAAACTTTCTTTTAAATTTATGAAATTAGCTTCTAAATCTTCCTTCCCAAAATTTTAACTTAGCTTTTCAGATTCTCTTTGATTTTCTGACATCATCATGTTGTTTCTGGTTTAACACCCGAGTGACAGAAAATGGAATAATTCAAAAATTAAGTGGTAAAATTAAAAAATAAGATAAAATTTAGTTACCAAAAGAGAATATGATCACAGTTAAGTGGTGAAAAGCATAGTTTACCCTAGAATATTAATATTTTCCGTCATACAAAGAATGTAATCTCTTGAAATCTAGAATTTCGATATTTTTTACGATAGGCTGGTAATCGTTTTCTTGGAAATAACTTCAAAAAGATTCGTCTAAAAGGATAAGGCTCCACTTTAAAAGGGACAATATTGTAGCATTCCCCAACACTGAAAATTCTGCTAATAACAAAAAAGGTTCCATATAGAGTTGTCTGAATCCGAGAGGGAATATGGAGAAGATAGAGCATACCACGGTGACCACCAACGGCATAAACATGCACGTTGCGTCGCTTGGTTCCGGCCCGGTTATTCTTTTCTTGCACGGCTTTCCGGAGCTTTGGTATTCATGGCGCCATCAGCTCCTTTCACTGTCATCACTCGGGTACCGATGCGTTGCTCCCGATCTTCGCGGCTACGGTGACACGGATGCTCCCACTTCTGCTGCTTCGTACACCGTTTTCCACGTTGTGGGGGATCTTGTGGGCCTCCTTGACACGCTCGGTGTCGAGAGTGTGTATTTGGTGGGACACGATTGGGGCGCGTTGATTGCTTGGTCTTTTTGTCAGTTCAGGCCTGATAGAGTCAAGGCTTTGGTGAACCTGAGCGTGGCGTATCGGCCTAGGAACCCTATGGTCAAGCCCGTGGAAGGGCTCAGGGCTCTGTTCGGCGAGGATTACTATGTTTGCAGGTTCCAGGTAATTGATTCACCAACAGTTTGATTAATGGGTTAGACTTTGGTTCTTTGATTTTACTACTGTATATGTTGCTCCATTACATCTTAGGAACCTGGAGAGATGGAAGACGACTTTGCTCAATTGGGCACTGAAAAACTTTTCAAGTTGTTTGTCACATCACTCGATCCGCGTCCGTTTCGTATACCTAAAGAGACAGGGTTGAGAGGGATGCCTGATCCGCCACCCTTGCCTTCCTGGATTTCAGAACAAGACATAGATTACTTTGCTAACACATTCAACCGAACCGGATTTACCGGCGGACTGAACTATTATCGAGCTATGAACCGGTAGGTCGAACTGAGCGTGCTAAGTAGTTGTTGAAGGAATCACATTTCTATTTCTATTTTCCCTGGATTGTTTTTATCCAATATTCTTATTGCAGGAACTGGGAACTCACAGCACCTTGGAACGGATCAGAGATCAAGGTACCGGTTAAATTTATAGTCGGAGACCTGGATATTACCTACCACATCCCTGGCGTCAAGGAATACATACATGAGGGTGGATTCAAAAGGGACGTGCCGTTCTTGCAGGAAGTAGTCATCATGGAAGGAGTAGGCCACTTTATCAATCAAGAAAAACCAGAGGAGATTAGCATTCACATTTATGAATTCATTAAGAAATTCTGATTGTTAGCTCTTTATTACATTTCACTTTTAATAAAAAAAACCATATCTATTCTATGAAATTCCGTGTTAGCCCGGAGTGGGAAAAGAAACAGAGAACTTCATTTCAAATCATTAAACGGAAAACTTAAAAAACCAAGCAACGAACATAGCCTTTTACTTATATATATAGCAAAGGGTCTTAATGCAATTCTACGAACAAGTTCACTCATGGCCCAAAAAGGATTTAATGCAACAAAAAAATCAATTTGAATCGATGAATTTAATTCGACGGACAAAAAAAAATCAACTGATGTGCCTTTGAATCAAGTGAATAAATTAGCAATGAACTACTAACATTAAACAAGTAACGGCAATTGCAATCAACAAAGGTGAAGGGTAAAAGGCAAGGGAATATAGACATACATACAGCTCCGTGGCTCCCAAAAGTTCCAAATAGCCGATCCGATGAATCCCTAAACTTCTCTGAAATCGTCATAACTTTCCTGTAGTCCAGGGCATTTTAACTCCGCTCTCTAATTACTGGGTTCAGAAAATTCTCTGGCTGATTGCTCAAAAGCAAATTGATCACCAGCCTTGACTCTGCAAGTGCATTTTTCAACTGATTTGCATCCCCTTCGGAAAGTGCAGGAGATAGGTTATCCGCAAAAGATTCTAATAACCGAATATCCACATCAATCCCCGTAATAGCATTTAAATTAAATCTCTTCACTGAATCTCCCAGTAAAGCTCCAATAATCTTCTCTGATATATGTGAGAAAGAACATCTTGTAAAACTCTTTTAAGAACTCGAGGAGGCAAAATCTGTTGTGCAGTAGAAACCAAAGTTTTCAAATATATTATGACCTCATTCACATATTCATTACCACCCTGTGAACATTCATCAGTCATCCAGTTCACATTCTCAATCAAAGTCAGGAAACTGTCGACCTTTCTCTTGAGCATCCCAGATAGCATCTCTTCTGCAGCTTCCCGGGCTTTGTTGAGAGGAAACTGCTTCCTGCTCCTTTCTGTCATTCTCAAAGGAATGCCTGAAAGCTGTGCAGCATGATGAAAGAAGAAATCACAAGCTTGCTCCAAAACAGCCATATTTGCTGCAACCTGCATTGCCTGAGAACCCCTTGGACAGATGAACTAATCAGCTTCAAAAGAGCCTCATCCAAAACCTCGTCCAAAAGCCGGTCCAAATACTTTTTACAACATCATATAAATCCAACTGCCCACCATAAGACATAAAACTAACAGAATCCTCGATAAAAGATCTGGCAATCCGGCAACAATCAGGAACGGTAGATGAAAATGGTGCAACATAAGGAAATGCTGGAACAATATCTGATGTTTGTAACTGGAAAGACAGCACATTCATCGAGTACTTGTATTCCTTCTTCATCAACATCTGCTCAAATTTATCATCTGCAAGAGCTTCTGCAATCTGCTTCCGGCTATCAGATAATAACAGCTCGTGGTACTTATCCCTATGCTTACTCAAAACAAGCAATGCATCAACAGGGTAGCCATACCTACGCAAAGTAACTCCTAACAAACTCACATAATCCTTAATCAGTAACAAGTGACTAGCAGTTTGCATCCTAGAAAACTGATCCTCTAAAACCGAGCACATTTTACTAACAGCAGTCTCCCACAAATTCTCAACATCCATTTTGGAAACCAAAACCCCGCCTGTCCTTAAAATGCGATCTTCTATTATAAAGAATCCCGCAATTTGAGCAAAAAATATTTGATGAGTTCAAGAAACGGTGTCATAGAAGACACTTGAAAATCAGAAGTTAATTGAAGCTTTCTATTCTCAAAGTAATACTGCTTAAATCGATTTTCAAGTCCTAAAGTTTGATGAATATGATAAGCTCTATAAAGAGGAGTCAAATCAAACCCAAACAAGCCATTATTACCGTTACTATAACTTTCATTCTCGTCTCCTCCAAGTTCACCTTCATCATCATCTTCTTCTAAAGCGTAAATGCAACCTCTCAAGCTGGGTCGACTCTGTTCTTCAGCTTGCCTTTGCTTGATTCTCAGGTATTCTTCGCGTTGCCGAGCAGCCGAGGATTGACCGATTGCTAACTGCCCTAAATTGCGGCTCACCACGCGAATATCCACGAGCCAATCGCCGAACTCTTTACTGTTTTGCGCTCGATATGAAATCGATCTCTGGAATCTTCCTCTCCAGCATCCTTTTTAATGTAGATGGTATTTTACCTTGGAACTCGTTTTCGATCGAGTCTAAACACTTCAATGCCATGTAGAAACTGCCGTTTGAGACATGAAGATTAGCTCTCTAGCAAAGCTACATCATCTTAATACACAATGTCACCGACTGCAAAGCGGAGTTTACGTTCTTTGAAACATTTTGAGCTACAACGAAGGAGTCAAGAGAAGAAAGGAGAGGACCACCGACTGATTAGAGTTCTGAGTTGGAGTCAGAGAGAGCAGATTTGAGAAAATCGACATCGGATAGAAGGGATCGGAGATCATCGACGGCAGGATGAATTCTTGGTAATGAGATTTACAAATTTCTTCGATTTCCGATTCCTTAGAACGAGCAAAGTGGCGGAGGAGGTGGATGAGTGTTTCAGGCCTTCCAGAAGCGAACACTTTGCGGACAAAAGGACCGAGGTCCCTGCCGTTACAGATGGCGGAGGAAAGGAGGAGTTGTTCCAATTTGTCGCCCGAATCACCCCCATCTGCGGCTGCTGGCGCCAATTTGCGGCGCGACCTCGTTGCCTTCCTTTCTTTTGTCGGTAAATATGACGGCGCCGTGATTTAAGAGAGAGGGGGAGAGGACGCGGGTGATGAAACTGAAGTACTTTTGGACGGTATTTTTTGTTGGGTAAACTACTCTTATGACTACTCAACTATTTTTCATTTTCACTTATTTTGATTTTATCAATTAAATTTTTAACTATTTAAATACTTTAATTAAATGACTGTCAATTAACTTTTAACATAAGAGGTTATGATATAAATATATATTTTATAATTTTAATTTAATAAATTTAATCTACTGACACGTATCAATAAGTAAATAAGTTGAAAGAAGATCATGCTGGAGAGGAAAATGCAGTAAGTGGAATTGAACCCAGAATTGAGAAAGCTTTATTAGCATCTGAGACTGGAACCATCGAGCCAAGCACCTTCCTCGATAACAATTTAAAACAGTTTATAACCTATTCTAATATTGTCAAGTTTCTATATAAACAATTTCACATATTATAATGCTGTCGTTTCAAAAACATAATATTTAATTCTTAAATTTTGCAGAAACTCGCCCATGGAGGCTAAACGGTGATGACGGTGAGAGGCAAGGTTGAGATCCAGAGAGAGAGAGAGAGAGTCGAAGGCGGCAACGGAAAAGATGATGGGCTGATGGGGAGTTGATTTTAGCTTTGGAACCACATAGGGATCGAGCAGAGGCGGCATAAGCGACTGCAGCTTCTTCCGATGTGTCAACAGTGACGGAGCTTCCTTATACCCATTTTGATTTAATAGTATTTTAGTTCATGTAAAAATAAATATTTAAATATAAAAAAATTATTAAATATTTAATTAAATAAGGATTGAACTAAAGAATAATAAATATGTATTCTCAAATTTTGGTCTAATTACAATTTAAGTTAATATAAATTTAAATATTAGATAAATTAAAAATTATCTTTTGAGTTTTAAATTTTTTTAAATTTAAGGTGAATATAATATAATATTTGTACAAATATTTTTAGGGTAAAATATTGTAATAGTCACTATATTTTTTTAAAGTTTATATTTAGGTCCCTCAATTTTAAAACTTGCAATACAGTCCTCCAACATTTAGTTTATTTGTAATATGGTCCCTAACGTAACCGGTCGTTTGACGCCGTTTGCAATATAATCACTGAACTTTTAAAACTTGCAACACAATCCTTAATTTCATTCTAAATCCCAAATTCTAAAATAATTAAATTACATTTTAAACCCCAAATTCTAAAATACTTTAATTTATGGTTTAGAATGTAGTTAAAGTATTTTAGAATTTGGGGTTTAGAATGTAATAAGTGTTTTGGAATTTTGAACATGAATTTGCTATTTGACAGTGATTACTTCAATATAAATTTGAGGTTTATTGCATGCACATCCAACGGTTGCTGCCCTTTGAACATTAAAAGTGCACCTATCACGGTTATTGCATAATCCGTTGAAGTAAAAGTAACAAGGCCAATTTGGATGGAAGTTGAGCATGCACATCTAACAGCTGCGAAAACAGTAAAAAAATTTAATTCATAGGACTACAACATACTGCCAAGCAATAACTAAAATAAACCAAGAATATCAATTAGTAACTCATTCAAAAGGATGACTTAATAAAAGGGAAAGAGGTTTGGTCATAGTCACTCCAAAAGCTAAGGTGTCAAATGGGTTGTTTAAGATAGACATTAGATGCCAAATACAGCATTATCAGTTGCAAATGCATTAATGGCCTATCATTTTAACATATAATTGCTTCTAATGCTCTATGTTTAATGATCCTCAATAGCCAAACGTGATAAGAATCTAAAGCAGATAGCGGAACTAAAATCATAAGACCCAATATTTCTTGTAAATTCATGGCATGTCAACAATAAAAAACATTGTAAAACATAGAGGACACTGCAAAAAACATATATATACCAGAAATGAAGGTGCAAATGTGCAATAATCGGGCAACATATCAAGTAGTTACTCCAAATATACTACCATGTCATGATGCATTTCGAGTTGTTTGCATGCAAAATTGTCTTATAAAGCTATAATTCAATATAGATTCAACTGTAAAATTTCTAAAACATGTAAAAAAATTCAATTCGTTCACGATATATCAGTCTCATAATCAACTTTTAAAACTTATTAAAAAGAATATGAGCTTAAAGGACATCGGAAACCACATGTCGGATCAATACAATTCCTAGTAAATTAATACCAACAGTCTCTCGAATTGAGCCTAGCGATTTCACTATGTCGATACTCACAACCAATTTCCTAATTTAAAGAAAAACCAAACAAGAATATCAAAAAAAATAGCCTAGGACCCTCTTTCACTTTTATTATGATGGACTGAATATCTTTCATAAGGAGTACTAAAAGTTTTGTTTAAGAAAAAAGAAATAAAATTAAATGGTTTTGGTTCAAAACTAACACTGAATATACAGATCCTTGACACGCAGTTCCAGAAACATAAAAATTTCAACAAAAAACACACAATGCGAGCTGAAAATGAGAAAGTACGAAAGAGGAAAAGCTTACTTTCGGATAACCCAAAAGAGAAAATAAATACCTTCTTGTAAGTGAGGGGAGAGGCTAAGAAATAAACGCAATCGGTGTTGCGTTCCAGCAATTCTTCCTTCATTTTTCTTTGTAAATAAAAAGCTGAAAGACATAACACTGCTTGGGTTTACAATTTTACATGATGGAAAACTGAAGAACAAAAACCAAACTAGAGTGCATGTGAGCGAAAGAGACTGAGAGGTGAAGGCGTTGTTTGGGATTTCATTATATTTGATCATTTGTTGAAAAATCTTTAACCACAAAGATTAAACGAAAAAATTATTATATGCCATTTATACAAAATAATTCCAGTTTTGTTGGTGACTTTCAACAATGATACTTAGTTCATTTTAGTAGTATTTGTCAACTCTGCATTTCTAACCTCATTTTTTTCTCACAAGCATTTCATCGAACATCTATGCTTCACTTGAGATGACATGTATATAACATTACACCTTGAATCGTTGATGGTCTCAATAGTCTCTTGGTCGTGTCTTCTCTCACTGGACCCTTATTCAAGTCAACCTCTCCACAAAATTAAAAGTTAGATTAGAATTTCCCATGCATCCGCGATTGAAAAGTTACGATGGAAATGAGAATAGAGAAGCAAAAAAAGAAATTCAAAATCGAAAAGGAATTTGGGGTTTAGAATGAAATTGAGGACTGTGTTGTAAGTTTTAAAAGTTAGGAGGCCTAAATGCAAGCACCTAAAAAGTTCAGTGACCATATTACAAATGGCGTCAAACGGCCAGTTACGTCGGAGACCATATTGCAAACGGACTAATTGTTGAAGAACTATATTGTAAGTTTTAAAAATTAAAAGACCTAAATGTAAGCTTTAAAAAAAATCAGTGAACATTACTATAATTTACCCATACTTTAAACTATTGTAAGTTTAAATAGTATATTTTATCATTGTTTGAGTTGACAAATTTGGCATAGCGTGCTCTCCAGAGTCAATAGTCTCTCTACCAGTCAAGGCACCCACCTGCCCGTACCCCGTTTCCCTGCTCATCTTCTTCGTCCCCGAAAGGAAACACCAATTTTCCCTACGAAAACACCATTTTCCATAGACACCCAAAAAAAGAGAGGAAACAAACAATGGCTCTCAATCGCACCACCGCCATTCCCCTATCGCTCATCCTTCTCTTCCTCCGATCGCCTCTCGCCACGTCATTCCCCCTCACCATCACCAACGACGCACCGTCAGCCTACGAAATCCTCCAAGGCTACAACTTCCCCGTCGGTATACTCCCCAAAGGAGTCGTGAAGTACGATTTAGATGAATCCACGGGTCGATTCCATGCCTACTTAAATGGCACGTGTATTTTCTCGTTGGAAGGATCTTATCAACTCAAATACAAATCAACTATCAGCGGAATCATATCCAATAATAAGCTCACAGACCTTTCTGGAATAAGCGTCAAAGTCTTTTTTCTATGGCTCAACATTGTGGAGGTTACTAGAGATGACGATGAGCTGGGTTTTTCAGTAGGGATTGCCTCTGCGAGCTTTCCAATTGATAACTTTTATGAGTGTCCGCAGTGTGGATGTGGGCTGGATTGCGTTAATGGGAAAGTAAGCAAGCTTAGAGTTAAATCTTCTTTCGCTTCAATTTAGAGGTATTTGTAAATTTTAGTTATTGAATGCTATGTTTTCATATGGGGTTGAATTGAAGTGGATTTTGGCTATATTTTGAAATTTGCGGAGTTTTAACTTTTTATGTGTTTAGAATCTCAACTCATTTGTGTGTATTTGTTTCTGATTATGTGGTTGGTATTTTTAATTGCTTGGTGAAGGATCGATCGACTATGCAACTAATGCATCGACATATTAGTTCATCTTTCATTTAATGCTATGAGTTATATTGTTAGAACGCTAAGCCTTGAGACAGTGAATGTGTTAGTCTGGGTGTTAATAGAAGGCGATGCCTTGCAAGATCATCTCCTGTATATGATAGTGGAACTGCGAATTTATGTCACTGTTAAGTTACTATCGAGTGAATTGAAAGAGGTCGAAAGGGCAGAAAGGAGGACTATGGAAGACATGGGATTGTGCATTTTTCAGGAAGTTGAAGTAGGATATAGTAATTGGACACTAGAGGTAGAGAGGTGGGAAGATAAAGAATGTTTCTGGCAGGAAAAATATATACAAGTGAGAATTTCTGTGATCTGTTTGAATCTTAGTCAAGTCATTAGTCAATATCTCAAGTGCTAGGTTGAGATGTATGTGACAGTATAATTCTCTAGGCAGGATATTTCTTACACATTCTGCAAGTACCCTTTAGGCTTAGCGGAGAACTTCGATGGCTTCAACTTTCAGCTAGAAAAAGTTATCATTTAACTTGCATGGTGTGGAGTTTTCAGTTGCCTAAAATGCTTTGATTTAATAGAAAAATTATCTTGAGTTATACTTTTTATATTGTGGTCTGCATATATGAGGAAGGTAGTGATCACTTTATCGTTAAAGTCTGCCAGATTCAAAATATGGAATTCAATAAGTCCAGCTTATGTAGTTTTGTTGTACTATTCGAGTGAAATTTTATGGCAAGGTGCCATTCTTTGTAACATGAAATGATTAAAACTGATATCCCATTTGTTTGAATCGGTCCTTTTCATTTTAGCTGATCATAGGCAGTCTGTATCGTGTTTAAAATGGGCTTGTAAGGACCTTTAGACCTGGAAAAAGGTTCAGGTTTTGCCTTGGAATGTTTCTCGGGTTGCAAATGTTATAGGCCAGGATGACTAAATGGGAATAAATTTTATGTATTCGATACGTTGGAGTTGATGTCTGAAGTTCTTAATCCTGTTTATTTAGCAGTTTATGATAGCTTTTAGACTGATTCGCTGTTGTATGTTTACTTATAAGTTCATACTGAGATCTCAGACTCAGAGAAGAGAGTAAATATGTCCTCCATAGCTGCTTTTGTGCTGCAGTTCTAGTGGAGATTGCCACCATTAATTATGTCTTCTTTTGCGTCTTTATGTAATATCATATCATTGTAATTTGGGAGCCTTCCTTGAACATTCAATTCTTACCCATTGAACTAGGTTATCTTTGCTCTTTATTAGTACGATAGTCTTGCAAGAAGCAAGGCTGAAATAATAGAAAATTTCCTGAAATTTATTTATTTATTTTGTAATTATTTTAATATTTTTATTGCAAATAAATAAATGCTTTTAGTGCATGAGAGGGCGGATCATAACTCAATAAGTTCCACGAGAAATTCTCTCTTTGGATGATAACAAATACCAATGGAAAACTAGTTTCCTATACCTAGTGGGGTTGAACTATGGTTTTTATATGCTTCATAGTGAGGTGGTGGAACCCACCACCAGGGATGGATTGAGGGAGCCGGCGAGGTCGGTCACTCTTAAAATTTTTAAATTCTCTTATATTTTAGATTTTTTTCTATGTATTTTCTATTGATAATTTGTTTTCCTCTCTTAAAATTTTATAATTCCGTTCTCTTCTAAAATTTTAAAAGCTCGTCCTTCTAACATAAAGTATTACGTCCGTCCTTATCGACCATTCAAACCATGCCTGTTGCCAGTGATGCATGAAAATTACTTTTCAGAATAATCGAGTTTTGGAATTGGATTCGGTTATGCATATAACATCCTGCGCTTGTATATACCCACCATTAAGACTGTGTCTTATGCCTATTGCCAATGATGCATGAAAGTTATTTTTCAGAATAATCGAAATTTGGAATTGGATTCGGTCATGCATAACTCTAGAATATATGTCGTAAGTGTTAATTGCATTAGACATTCTTAAAATATGATTTTAAACTTTAAATTTGTATTCAATGGCTATTGAATGTATCATTTGGATTTAATATCTTAAAAAGAAAACATTCAGTCTATTTTTATAATATGCAAATCCAAACTGTCCATATAATAAGCCAGAAAATATGATGGATTTGATTTGGACCTAGCGAACCCTTTTACTTTAGGGCCGAAAGATAACCCAACCCGAACAAATGTATGTGTCGATGTCCGGCCTTTCCGGTTTATCCTATCGAGTGCGTTCCGCGACCGATTAAGGATTTTACCCAAAAAGAAAACCCTGAATTTTTAAACCCCTTGTTTCACATCTCTGTCACTTAATTTTGCTTTAGCTTAGAGCCAGGGCCAGGAGAAAACAATGGTTGAGGGTCAGGGTCAGGGTCAGGGTCAGGGTCAGGGAGAAGAAATCCCTTCGAATATGACTTTATACATCAACAATCTCAATGAGAAGATCAAAATCGACCGTACTTAATTAATATCTCTAAACCCCTACCTCCTAAAAAATGCTTATATGACTCTTTTCTTCTCCTTGATTTCTTCCCCTCGAATGATTTTTGCAGAGTTGAAGAAGTCGTTGCACGCTGTGTTTTCACAATTCGGAAAGATACTGGATGTGTTGGCATTCAAGACGCTGAAACACAAAGGTCAAGCCTGGGTTGTTTTTGAGGATGTTAGCTCCGCCACCAATGCTCTTAGGCGAATGCAGGGCTTTCCCTTTTATGACAAGGAAATGGTATATGTATTTTTAGTCATTGTGACTTCTTCATCTCTTTGCCTATGATCTGATACATTTCAGCATTTCGGGACAGTTTTTTTTTTCTGGGTTTAGGGTTATGTTTATGTCTTTTGTCTGTGTTGTTTTTTATGACAAAAAATGCTAGATTTTGATTTTAATTTTATAAGGTACTTCAATCAGTGGAGAATTAAGTAGTTTTGCTTTTAACTATGGATATTCAGATTATAAATCATGCTCAATACTACCATAAACTGTCATAATATTTCCTATACTTATAATTAATGAAAACAATATTTAATTATTTGCAGAGAATACAATACGCAAAGACTAAATCTGATATAATCGCAAAAGCAGATGGCACTTTTGTACCCCGAGAGAAGCGAAAGAGGCATGAAGAAAAGGGTACCCTTCTCTTTGTTCCTTACCTTCGGTTGAAAATGCTAACAGTTGAGCAATTGACATTTCTTGTTGTTGTATATGGTTTGCCTCTACTTTTACCTTAAATTTGTATCACTACTGTTGTTGTATATGGTAATCAGTTCTTTCCTTTGCTATTACTTGAATCTCGAAGCTTGAGTCTGTTAGGATCATCCTTAGAACTTCAATGAACAGACTATTGAGAAAACACTAACAGATGTATTTATTGTTGAATCTTTTAGAATGCACACACTTAAATGCCTCATAATTTGTCTTAATGTCCAAGTAAACCTCACTCTTTTTTGCTTCCTCCCTCTTCTCACTGCTATTTTCGTTCGCCCCCACCATTAATGTGATTAGTTGGGTCCTCATTGCCACCAATACTCATTTATTTGAGGTAAAGTATCATTGGTGCACATCATGGTGTTCACGGAGAAGTAAAACCGAGTATGCTTATATTTTAGACTTAGTGAATTAGTGCTAAGGATGTGTTCTTTCTCTCTTTCTCTGACACAACGCTTATTTTGACATATGCGGCAATGCGACAGACAGTTTTATCTGTTTTATAGTTCTCTTTCCTGTTCTTCTCCTGAGATTTGAATATGCTGTGTCAATGTAGGAGGGAAAAAACGGAAGGAGCAACTTGATCCTAATCGAGTAGCAGCAGGTTTGAATCCAGCTTATGCGGGTGCTTATGGTGCTACACCTCCTGTAAGTGATACAAAATACAGCATCTTATTATGGATTGACTGCTTTTTCTCTTTCTTCGGACTCTGGTTGAAATTTGCTTTGGTTAATCTTGCAATTGTGCTATTAGTATGGATTATTTAGATGGTTATACATTTGTCTTTGGGTACTTTTATTACTTTTGAGCTACAAGCCTGCAAGAGCATCTTTTATTCAAACTACGTGGAAATTTTCTGTGCTTTGCTGTGTTGATGACTTTTGCATATTTATTTGTTCTGATGAAACTCGGATGCTAATTGAACATGACCATTCTATATCATTAGACTATATTTGATGTGATGGTCCACAATACGGATGATCAAAGATTGGATACTTTTGAACTGTAATTGAATGAAGCTTGGTCCTTTACTTTTTTGTGTTCTTGTTATACTATTTTACTATGAAATTAGTATGTTACATCTCATCAGAAGAAAAAAGAGTTTAGCATGTGTATGTTTCTCATTATTTGCTCCTATATATTTTTTATCCAAAATGCTGCAGCTATCACAGTTACCCTACCTGGGTGCTAGACCAATGGTTCCGGAAGCTCCTGCGCCACCAAATAACATTCTGTTTATTCAGAATCTTCCTCATGATGCGACCACAACGATGCTGCAAATGCTCTTCAATCAATACCCTGGTTTAAAGGATGTTAGAATGGTGGAAACAAAACCAGGTATCGCCTTTGTGGAGTATGAAAACGAGATGCAATCAACAGTTGCGATGCAGGCACTACAAGGTTTCAAGATACAACAAAACCAGATGTTGATTACTTATGCAAAGAAGTAGAAGGAAAGACCGAAATAATCCTTCTCTTGCTTCCAACATGAGAAGACGGCCATGTGTATGGATAGTTAATTAGATAGCAGTTGGCATCAAATGTAATACCCGTCTTGTGATACATTGCCGTTAACCATGGCTTCAGATTGTCACTGTAGATTGTTGACCAGATGTTTATGTTTTAAATTAAATTCTCTATACACATTTCTGTAGTCGTACCAGGCCATGTATTACCTTTGCTCTGTGACTTAATCACAATAAATAAGTTCCATTAGTGTATTATTCATTTGGTATGGAAAGCTAGAAAGCATAGATTGATCATGTATGAATCAAATGACTAAATTGCCATATCAAATGACTAGATTGATCAAGCAGCAGATATAATGCTACCACTACCATGCAATAACACAACTGGCAGTATAGCTGTACCCATAGTCAGTTCAATCTCAAACAAATTATACTCTCTCCAGTTCGGTATTGTGTTTCTCCAGTTGGTCACTCAAATCCTTCCTCCATCCCTGGATCAGTTTCTCCTGATTCTTGATGATCTCCGTTTTAGTTCTCAGCTCTTCTTCCATTTTTGTAATCTCCTGTTATAACAAGAAACATGTCGAATTAAGCCTCTTCGTCGAGTGGCGTATTCATATGCAGTGATCATCTAAAGTAAAAGTTTAATGGGTTTACTTGTGTGAGCATTTTGAGCCTTAGTTGGCTGATCCTCACGTTGCAGGCCAAGGAAGTATAACTGAAGCTTCTTGGCAGCCTCCATGAAATCTCTAGCATGTCTTTCCACATCAACTACAACAATTGCAAATAAAAACAACATTTCAAAACACAAGGATTTGGTCCAAAAAGGTTAGATAAACTAAATTTCTCTATTTTTTTGGATTAATGCATTCATTCAAGCACATCTGATTTTGTACAGTGAAAAATGCGGACCAAGCATCGGAAATGGGATACTCTAAATCATTGAAAGCTTCAATTTACCCAGATAATTTATGATTTAAGAATAAGAACAAATATCAAAGACTACTAAACAGGCAACATCGTACATCATCTTTACAGCAATATATATGAAGAAAATGAAATGGAAACACTCTGGGAAGAAAGGAGATAGTGAGGGCAACTGACTCTGATGAGAAGGGTGGGGAGAACGGTCGATAGCTTGAAGCTCTCTGGCGGGCAAGCATGGCAGCAAAGCCGTCTCTAACGCCACCACCCATGAGATCATGTCATCTCTTGATGAACCCTGAGGCGATTGAATCTGCGGATCCAACTGAATCTCTTGCCTTTCACTCATTATTCTTCACCCTAAAAAAAAAGGGGTTAATTTCACTCGAACAATTTCTAGGGTTAATTTCACTCGACTGGAGGAATCTGTAATTCTCAACGGGCTTACTCTTTGGGCCTGATATATGGAATGCATGGGATAATAGCACGATGGCCCTTAAGTTATAGCAAATCTTCTAATGTGGTACAAGACACCTCTCTTTAAAATTTGACATTTTTAATACTAGAGTTTTCGTTAAAATAATGAAGTGATATCAAGTGTTTTAACAGATAATTAATTGGATCCAATTTTTATAATTTAAAAGAATTTGGCACATGGATACATGCAGATAACACGTATTAAGGTAAGAAAAAAAATATTTTTTATATTAGTATATATAGATTTTTTTTATTTGTCTTAGTTGAATATAAGATAGTATCCGTTCAAAATACTATCAATCATTTGATAATGAACACTTGTACACTACTGCAAACATCGTGCTCAAACCTAAAATCTGATAATAAAAATCTCTTAATCACTTAAATTATTTAGTTCATGCTACTCTACGTAATTTTGTTTTTTTAACTGAAATCAACCCTATCTTATATATAATAATAATAATGTCACGCGTCGGCCAATTTGTTTTGTAGCTGTTCCTCTGTACTTGTCGACGTAAAGTCAAATATATGCATCAACAGCATGGTGGACTCTGTATGCTCTTAACTTGTTGGAGCTTGAAAGCATGAGTAAGGTTTGAAAACAATGGAGTATGGATCCGATCCTCATTGCACTTGCAAAAGTAATCTTCTTTGGTTCAAAAAAATCTTGAGTGTACAACCACATAAGGCATTTACTACAAAACCCACGACACGCTAGCATTTATGTCTTTAGATTTCGATGATGACTTCACTGTTCTTCCGATAGTCACATGGATCGCGGTACGCTCGGTACGAAAATGTGGAACGGGATCGCAATTCGTTAGGTCCCTAAAATTCGGTACGAGGGGTAGACTTCTTTCGGATCACTCCGGTACGATGTATCATATAAATTGGTACGATTTACCAGTTTCTTAGATAGAGATCAATTATAGAAGAAATTTAGAAATGTAGAAAGTTATGCAAATCCTAGTAAAATAATATAGGGACCAAAACATAAACACAAAATAATTCAAAACTCAAAATCTAATATGCATAAATCCGATTTAAGGACTAAAATAAATTGAATAAAAAATGAGCATGACTCCTTTAAGAATAAACCCACGCGAACAAAAATGGACTACCCTGGACCCCAATTAAACGACAGTGTTTAACCAAAATATCTAAAGCCTTTAAAATTTAACCTAAAAATATATCATAATTTATGCTAAATCTAAACCCTTCCCCCTGCGCCCGTTTTGAACCTCTTCTCTTCTTCATCCTCTACTCCTCACACCCGCATGGCCGAAACTCTTCACAGCCCCAAACTCGAGCAACTTTTTAAAACATGCGCGCTTTTTAAAACACTGACTACAACGATGATGGTCTCTTTCGATTTCGGTGAGGCCACGATGACAACACCTAAGGTAAGGCTCTTCAACTCACTGTTTTTTTTTCTGGTTTCCCCGAATGGTTTCCCCTCTCCCTCTTATTCTCCTCTGATTTTTTCTCTCTCAAACCCCCAATCCCTTTATTTTTTCTGATTGTATCTCCTCTTATTCCTGCTGCAAAACTACGATGTACCGAATCGCGATTTTGAAACAATCCGAACGCGTTCGTACCGCGTTTTGGATCGCAACGTACAGTACGTAGATCGTGGCCAAATGAGCAATTTATGTAGCTATGGTTCTTCCACAAGACAAAAATGGTGATTTAAGGATGACAGCACTTGGAGGTGGAGCACTTCTTTTTCTTTTTCTTTTTTTATTATAAAAATGGACGTTCAGAATCCATTTCTGATCAAAGGATGACACCACTTCTGAGCTTTTGTGAAACCCTTTGCGGCTTCCTGTCTGAGACAAAGAACAAGGACCTTGAGTTTTAACTACTTTTTCTGTCTCTACAAACACCCCCTGACCCCCCCACTTTAACTTCGTTTAAGAATTTTATTAGGGTTTGGAAATTCGGGTCATAAAACTCTAACATAAATCTGCACACTTTTGCTTCATCCGTTCAAAAGTTCGCACGATTTGAAGATTTTTTCCTTGCAAAAGTTGCTTTACTTACATTACATGCATTGAAATCACTGTCATCAGTGTCTTTGAAATTCTTTCAGAGTATCGAGTGTATATGAAAAACAAGGCCATTAACTTCTTTGCCGGAGTTAAAGCTGTTGCCCTACTCTATATGATAGGGAATCATATCAACGTAGGGAGCCCCATTCTCCATTCAAACACGTTCTTATATTTATATTATGTTCGTATATTCGTAATCGTAATTGTATTTAAGATATGTTATTAATATTATAAAATAGTTGTGTCGTGTCGAAAAAATATGGGGCATAGTCGTTCATATACCCATATCATACTCAAAAAAAGCTTGCACGTTTGCACCCAACACGGCAACACGCAAACCCTACGTGCACTCTTACATTATTCTTCTCTGCTTCATTGCATCAACAGGTTCTTTTTCCGCAAAGAGAAACCCTACAAAATGGGGCCATACAAAGGTGGTGGGACCTGATATCATGGCCACGAGATTCTTGATCTAAAGGCTGTCAATGGTGGGATAGGGTTTTAGAGCCCTGTGGTTGTAGCTGACTGTTGCCTTTGGATCCTGTAAGGAAACAAAAGTGTTGGTGTGAAATTAAGGCAGACAAGACCCACTTCTTCTTCCTTGGATATCTCTGCTTTGAATTTCTCTGCTCACCACTATGATTGCACAGTAATGATAATATATATATATATATATATATATATATATATATATATTTCTGATCTGACATCTTCTGTATCTAATACTTATATTAAATTATAATTATATTTGAAGTCGAATCAAATCGAACCGTGATTGCAGGTTACATAGTTTCTTCCACTTTTCATATATAGACATCACCCTTTGTTTGCCAGATTTCTCTTATTATTAACTGGGATTATTAAGAAAATGTAGTAATAATAAGTAACAAGCCGGCTAAGCTCAGCCCCTCTTCGTTTCTCATTCTCTCTCGCTCGCACCTATAAATACTCGCGCGAGTCCCTCGAATCATCACTTCCACATCTCAAAAGCAGAAAAGAAAAGAAAAGAAAAGCTCGTTCATGGCAAGACGACGTTTAAGCGGGTGAGCAGCTCTTGATGGAGAAGCAGGGCACGTGCAAAGAGTGCAGTATTTTGCATTGTTGCACGTGCTCCCCTTCTCCAACACGAGTTCCTCACCTTACCTGCGCTTTTCTGTCTCGTTGCCTTCATCTCTCGCAAGCTCTTCTTCATGAATACATATTTGTAAGTAAAAACATCGTTATATCGAGATGTTATTGTTGTTCCCAGAATAATTCGATACATATTCAAGATTTCGAGTTCATTTGCTATGGTGAGATTAGCGTTAAATGAGAAAAGGATTATTAAAGCTGAACTGCAGGAAATACAATATCTCCTTGTCCTTGGACTACGTACGTTACGTAAGAGATCGCTCGGTTATCAGAAGAAGAGCAAGAATTACCTTGGCAATTTCAGAGGGAATAAACTACATTCCTTGAACAATTATACGTTATACTTTACCATACAATAAACACATTTATGAAAATTAAACCTTATAAATAGATTCTATCAAAACTTGGTAACAATTTATGGGTAATCATATATTGTATTTATATTTTGATAAAATATATAATATGTTGTATGTACTATAATATAATATTCAATGTAGTACCAAGTACATTAGCTATTATTTCATGTTTATTGTAGTATCGGTTAATTTTTATCGATTGATTTTACATTTGTTGATAGTATTGACCCAAATATCATAATAATACACAAAATAATAGTTTAGGTATAACAATCACTAATGGTGTTAATTCAGGTACGTACTATAATAATATACATAATGATATTCTAAGCATTATATTCGACATTACAATAATGACAAAGTTGACCTTAAAGAGTGATTCCGATAGAAAAGAATATTGTTCTTCTTAAATGACATGAGAATGAGTAGTTTAGAATGCATTTGTGTGTAATTTTAGCTATATTTGATATTAGAACATACACTCCTTTGATGTGTTTATGGATAAATTTATTAAATTATTTTAAATTTAGACCAAATTAATTAATTATGTAAATCTTAGAGATTAAAAGTATTATTATACTATCATACTATCTATTAAAATTTCAATTGCAAGTGAGTTGATTGACACTAAAAAAATATTAGTGACTTAGTTGTCAAAAGCTTTTATTCAGTGATTAGAATAGAATTAATTATATAATTTAATGACTAAATAAATAATTTAACAAACTATATTTTAAAAAAGTTCTCCTAATATTTGTTTAAAATTTGCGGGGCTACCCCATCTCCATTCGCACATCCCGCCGCCAAGGTTCGTTAGGTAATTTTTGAAACCCTAAACTTAGCTGGAAATATCTCTGCCGAGTTATGCGATTGTGAGTTGTCTGCTATCTGCCTCCACATTGCTCTGGTATATTTGGTTTTTATGTATTCGATCACACTGCTTGTTACTCTATCTCATACTCTCTCTCTCTGTTTATTTCGTTGAGAAGCAGAATTTGTCTAAAGCTATCTGTTCAGAGGAAATAGACACTGCTGGTTGCTCTATCTCTGGTAAGTTGGCCATGGCGGGTCAAAAGCGGAAAGAGAGGGCTGGTGGTGGTGAATTCAGAAACAACAAGTTCAAAAAGGACTCTAAGATGAATAAGAGTTCAAAGAATAATAAGAATAAAAACAATACGATAAGTAAAGGGAAAGGTCCTCGCTTGCCTTCTTCACTACGAACGGAACTTGATCGCCTGAACCCTAGAATATCTTCGGACAGTGATGATGGCATTGATTCCGATATTGGAAACGATGTTTATGAGTACGACGAAGAAGTGCCAGAAGAAGAATCCCGGAAGAACCGCCGTTTTGATCCTGTTGAGAATTATGAATACGAGCTCCCTAAGGATTTTAAGGTTTGCTTCTCTCTTGTTTGCTCGTTTAAGTGAATTTTATTTCAGTTTTGATTCATGATAAATTTATTTTGGTATGGACTTCGGATAGCCGAATCGCAAAAGCTAGCTATTAGTGTAACATCCTAAGTTGAAATTCCATACTTTCCAAAGTGAGATCCAACTCCTATACTTCGCAATTAGGCACATATAATTAACTATCTAATGCAATGCATGCTTACTCTGGTGTTCTGTCACCTTTTGAGCTTGCATACTAACCTCTTGTTTTTTTATTTGCATTTGTTTCATGTTTACCGGTATTTTCTTTTTATCATGTAGGATGAAAATGTGTCATCAGATGACGACGATGATGATGGTGGCTTTGGTGTTGATGGAAATGAGGGTAGTCAAAATGAAGACGATGAAAGGCACTTGAGGATGTTGCAAGGGATCACTGGAATGTCAACTGATGCCTTTGGAGGTAAGAATTTTTTTTGTTTGAATTTGTGTTGTTGGATTAATATGGAATTTATTGATCTACCAAGTTCAATGGCCTATGTTAGTTAATGGTCATAGGACTCTAATTGAAAGATTTTTAATCATAGTCATGTTTTAAGTTAATTATACTATCTTTTCTTGTCAATTATAAGTTGCTACCCATCTGTTTTTTGAGAGTGTAATGAATGTCCTCAGAACATGTTTGATGTCTCTCTGACACAGGGCTGCCTGCATTTTATGCGAAAATCTTTGTCTAGTCACCATATTTGCCAATCTGAACTTTATTTTTCTATTATATTGAAACATTGTATGTAGATTGAATTGCCACATGTAAGTACGTCATCCATGGTTGAAAAATGTGTTAAACATAGTCCGGAAGAAAAATTGGTGGATCTATTCTTGCAGACATTGGGTTAGTTACCTTTATACTATTTATTATTCAGTTGATATGATTTTTTGGTTGGTTGCAGACAAGAAGAAGAGGAATAGCATAGTTATATCTGAGGCACACCCCGAGTCGGAATACAACCCTACACGTGATGTTCTTCAGGGTGATGGGCACATTACAGTTCAAGATCTTTTGGATCCTATACAAGGAAAACCGGGATATAGCAAACTTAGAAAAAGAATGCAACATGTGGATAGAAGATCTGCATCTGTTCAAGCTCCTCTTCCAAAGGCAGATAGAGAGAAATTGGAGAGGATGGCAGTGTACGAACATTCGAAGAAAGATATTACTAAGTGGGAACATCTGGTCAAAAGGAATAGAGAAGCTCCTACTGTTTTCTTTGGTGAAGATGTAGACTTGGGATTTTCAACTGTAGGGGCAATAGCTTCTGAATTTGAGCCTAGGACCGAGTTTGAGAAGAAAATTGCTTCTTTGGTTTATGATGACAAAGTTATGGAAGCTCATAAAGCAGATGGTTCTAAACTTCTGGAATTAAATAAGGTATGGGCATTTTAGGACTTGTTCATTCAGTCTGGCATTTCATTGCTTTTAGAGGTTTACAAAATGCGTGCCTCTCCTAATCATAAACTTTTTATTACAAACCTCTTCCTGAGTAACTTTTCCCAAATGTTTGTGATGAATTTCATCTTAAAATTTTAATTAGAAGAATAATGACCACACTAAAGCATTGCCTGTCTTAATCAAGGTATACTTTATTGGTGTACCACAGGTTTAGACATTTTGGGATTCTGATATTCACTTGAGTGCTTTATCCATCTTTTATCTAACATAAAGAACACGGGCTTTTAATGTTTGATTGCAGATAGTATCTTTCTGGGGATGTTGGACTCAATTTTCATTTTAATGTTTACTGTTGGCCTTCTTTTTCACGTGCTAAAATTTTCAGAAATATTTTTGCTCATATCATGGTTTCTCTAATAGAGAACATAAAAGTCTTCCCAATTTGATTCCAACAAGTGTGGATTAAAATTTGGATAATTTTTGGAAATCGGCTGAGATTATAATGGTCTATGTGAATGAAAGGGTTTTTCCATATTAGGAGCAAACATAGGATGAATATTTAGATTTCATAGCTTATCATTCTTTTGAACTTCTCCTGTATAAAAAAACAGATGGGTCTTTAAACTTTTCACGCTTATGCAATGGCTTTTGGATGGCTGTAATTTTCTTGGTATTTGGATTTACTCAGATCCTCTCATGGTTTTTGCTCTGTTGCACCGAGTATTCTGTGAATGTTTGTCTGTCACTGCATAGAGTGTAGTTGTTAAGATCTTGAAGATTTTTAAGTGTGTTTGGTTTTCATCAATGCTAAGCAGATATCCGAAGAAGATTACATTAAGCATCGGGATCATGTAGCCAAAATGCGCAGTCTTCTTTTCCGTCATGAAATGAAGCAGAAACGCATCAAAAAGATCAAGTCCAAAACCTTTCATCGTTTAAAGAATAAGGATAAGCTAAAAGCGGTATCTGTAGAAATGCTGATGGATCCAGAGACAGCCAAAGAACAGGCTAGGAAGCAAGAGTTCAAACGAGCTGAGGTGATACATAATTTTCCTTTGTTTTAACAAATTTTCTGTTTTCTCTTATAAAAAAAAACAAATTTTCTGTTTTCCAACAATGTTCTTTCAAAAGTGCTTTACCAAAATAACATTTAACAAATGTTAAATCTTGATTCTTTTCCCTATTACTTTATGATGCAGGAGCGAATGACTTTGAAGCACAAAAATAAGTCGAAGTGGGCAAGACGTATTTTAGAGCGTGGTTTGAATGCCCAGGATGAAGGTACTCGAGCAGCTATGGCTGAACAGCTTCACCATCATGCTCTTTTGACGAGAAAAATTAACACTGTTAATGACAGTAGTAGTAGCAGTGATAACAGTAGTGACGAGGATGACGAGGGTTCAAACGAGGATAGGGCATCTGAGTTGCTAGAAAAAGCAAAAGAGAAAACACTGAAAGTATTGGAAGACGATGAAGAATTGCCCAATTCTGGAGTTCTTTCTTTACCTTTCATGGTATTTATTGTTGTATTTTTCATTTGGACTGTCAAATATACCTATGAGTTGTATGTGCTTATCTTATCCTGATGTTTTTGGCCTCATTTTTTATGTGTTTAGGTTCGTGGAATGAAGAAAAGAAAGGAAGAAGCCATGGAAGAAGCTAAGCTTGCGCTTCAGGAGTATGAGCAATTGGAGGGTACAAATGGTGCAGTAAATTCTAAACCTCCCATTGCAACTGGTAGAAGGGTTTTTGGTAGGGCTGATACTGAAGTTCCAGATTCTAACAAGAAGACCAAAACTGATAAGATGAAAGTGGATAATTATTACGGTAACAGTGATAGCGAAGATGATTTCGAAGCCAAAGAGAATATTAACATTGAGGGTAGTAGAAGAAATGATGTTGAGAAGGATGTTGCCCCTAATTTTGATAGGAAAGAAGCAACTGATGTCTCTGTGTTCAAGGTAATTGCTCCTCTGATATTCTTGCAGCTTTCTCTTTTTCTGTTCTTTTAGTGTGCATTGGTAATAGATATTCAACTGTTTTGGACACAGAATTTTGATGAAGTTGTTGGAGACCCCGGTTCAAAAACAACATATGATGTTGCTATTTTTGCTTCTGATTCATGGAGAAAGGTTATTATCCTTTGCTATCACTTCAAGTATTCTTTAATCCAGAGTAACCTGTTTTCATGCTAACTAGTCTGTATACAATCACAGATGAAAAGTGGGAATGAAGTTGATACAAATGTCAGAAAGTTGCCAGAAGTCAAGGAACCTATTGCGCTTAATCAAGACGTGGAGGTTTGATATCTCTGATACTTAAGTTTGCTCTATTTTTTGTGTGTTTTGGCAGCTCCTTATTGTTCTGCTCCTTTTCTTGGAAACTCGGAAGGAGGGAGAAGAGGGAAGTGATTCAGAGAGCGAACAACAAATGGTTGATGGTATTTTGACCTCAGGCCCCAAGGAATCATATGAACTCCCTTCTCAATCAGAGCTCATTCAACTTGCTTTTGCTGGGGATGATGTGCAAGAAGAATTTGAAAAGGATAAACGGGAGATCTTGAATGAGGAGAACCCTGAACCAGATAAACCTGTTTTGCTCCCGGGTTGGGGCCAATGGACTGATGTACAGAGAAAAAAAGGTTTGCCTTCATGGATGCTTAAAGAACATGAAGATGCTAAGAGGAAGAGGGAAGAAATTCTTAAGAGAAGGAAGGATGCACGTCTTAAGCATGTCATTATCTCCGAAAAGGTGGATAAAAAGGTAAGTACAGCTTTGTTCCTCAATTTTTGTCCCGAGTACATGTATGTTTTTTTGGATAAGCAGCACTTCTATTTATCTGAAAGAAAATTAGCAGTCTGCTACAAAGTATACTCAAGAAATAAACAGAATACCTAAACAGACATACCCTAACCCCTTAGCATATACACTTTACAATTTTCTTTGTTCTTAGTCAAACCTATTCGAGTACATACTACCCCATTTCATCTGAGAAAAGATGAAAATCTGCCTACCTTGGCATTCCTCCATGAAGCCTTTTATTTTTTCCTGTCAAATTTGATTGATGGAGTTCCATGCCGTCTCGCTATGGTTGAGGTAAGGGACTTTCCCTTTCCATGTCTGAAGATCCAATCAGTCATTTCCATGCTTGAGTACATATTTGGTTGTCAAATGAACCAATTCTTTCTCTAGATGCATTCATTAACATTCATCACAAGATCTACAAATTCCATGCATTCCGATAAGAGATGTCAAATTGCACTCTTTGTTTTGTTTTGGACATAGTTCAATTGCACACTTTCTGGTTATAAAATGAATAACATAAGTTCTCTGTAATTGTATTTGGCAGGCTGAGAAATTGCAAACAAAAACTTTGCCCTACCCTTTCACATCGAAGGAACTGTTTGAACAAAGTATGCGCATGCCGATTGGATCTGAATCAAACCCAGAGACTGCAATCAGAAGTCTTAATCGGCCAGAAGTAAGTTCAATCTTTCCAAAATCGTACTCGGAGCTCAATACATTTCTTGGGGGAGTTGTGGTGCTTGTGTAGTTCTTTTACTAGGTGTACATAGTATAGATTTGTAAAATAGCGTCGACTCGGGAAGCTTTTTCGGGTATTCCTCCTCTTGCCATTTAAATCTTCCCGCTTACTATATATCCGTTGCTTGTTTGTTTTAATACACAGGTGGTGAAGAAACCAGGGGTAATTATAAAACCGATCAAGTTTGAGGAGGCGCATCCTCATGAAAAGTCCGAGGATAACAAACGGAGAGGGCAAAAACCGAAGAAAAATAGAAGCAAAGGTGCTACTAGCAAGAACAAGAAACAATGAAAGACGAGCAAGTAAACTCGTAAATTTCCTTTTTAAGTGTTTTCCCCCAGTATTTGTAGTAAATTCATTTGGTCCAAAAACATCGAGTTTTTAAGGATAAAAGAATGGAGAGCCATGTTATTTTGAATCAATTAAGCCTTTTTTTCTCCTAAAATATTATTATCATATAGTACACGATGATTCTATCACATGGGTTTATTTGTATCTTTTACTTGATTTAAAAATATATGTATTATAAATAACTAAGGAAAAACTATAAATAATTAGGAAAAATCAAATAAAAGTAGTAGGTGGTGGAATGAAGATGTATATGTCACGTGGTTAGGGCTGAAATTAGTAACCGTAGCTGGACAAATGTGATCGGGGTGGCATCCCTTGCTTCGGCCTTCAGTGTTGCTGCTGAAGTTTCCAGGAGAAACTGAAACTCTAGTGGCCTATGATTAAAGGCAACGTGGGAATGACCAAAGGAGTTTGCAATTTGTAAGAGTAAACCTCGTTTCAGATAAACACAAACTGTTGCATCAATAAGAATATGGTAAAATGTAATTGTTTTAGATCTTCAAAGCTCACTGTCAATTAAAGCTTACAAGGGATAACAGACATGGAAATTACAAAGATAGACGGCAAAGGCATGTCAAAAAGGGAAACCTCCAGAAACTATTCTATGTATATGTGTATATGGCATTGCCACATTAAGACGATGATTCACTGTTGTTGGTATTTTTCCCCTCCTTGTGATCACCAAAGATACGTTGCTGGAAATCCGAAACCATTAGAGGGAGACCCTTTCGAAGTGAGACCTTGGGTTCCCAGCCAAGCAGCTCTTTGGCTCGTGCAATATCGGGTTTCCTCTTGTGTGGGTCGTCTTCAGTGTTGGGTCTAAACTCTATCTTGGCATTTGGATCAATAGTTTCTTGGACAACCTGTAAACAGGTAACGATCAATGAACTTCCATTTTGAAGAATAAATTCAGATTTGCTGCAAATAACGCATACCTCGGCAAGCTCGAGCATGGTGAATTCACCCGGATTTCCAAGATTAAAAGGTCCAACATGCTCCCCTTCCATTAACCGCATGAGCCCCTCCACCTGTTTCGACACATCATAAATAATGATGTGAAAAAAATATTAGTTCGATTGACAGCGAAATAACACTGATGCATGCTTCAGACCAAACTACGAGGCAATTGAAATTTGCTGGTCCCCTTTGGGGCATTCATTTTGGTACAAAATCACATGGTGCATGTTTCACCAATTAATTTTTACACTCTTCAGACAAAATTTCAGAGCCGGAGAAAGAATATGATCCTTTCTGTTAAAACTTAAAAGCTTTTATTCCACAAGACATTTAGCATTCCCTATGTTGAAATTATCAAACTTTTAGATTCCCCCTTCTTTACCATGCAATGCCAAGATGCACTTCAAATATACAGGGAAATGTATGATTAAAAGTTGAAAATAATAAGACTTTTACACATTAGAAAAGAGAAATAAATAAATGTGAATGTACAAAGTTTTATCTCAGCCATCCATTTATTTTCATCCAACAATCCTAAATCAGCGTAAAATTGCAATTCAATATATATATAAAGATGACATACCAGATCAGAAACATATTGGAAACTCCTTGTCTGCTTCCCATCACCATACACAGTCAAAGGCTCCTTCCTTAAAGCCTGCATTCATTTAGTCAATTATCAACATTAACACCCTTCCCTACAGGCACTGCAGAATTAGTTACAGGAAATGAATGCGATAAAGGGCACCTGAGCAACGAAGTTGCTAACGACACGACCATCGTCGATGCACATACGAGGTCCGTAAGTATTGAAAATCCTGGCAATCCTAACCTGAAAGAACGGATATTCGAACATTTTACATGGTCGTTTGAAAAGTCTGGTGTTATGAAATGACGATAGATTAATATAATCTAACCTCAACTCCGGCTCCTCTGTGATAATCCATGGTCAGTGTTTCAGCAGTTCGTTTTCCCTCATCGTAACAGCTCCGGACACCTGCCACCATACATTCAAACTAGTTTCACGTTATTCATTTGAAGCAAACGCCAAAATATTATCTGAATACACCTATCAAGTGTAACGGCAAATAAACTATAAAAAATAATAAAAAAGAAATATAATAATACATAAATTTATGTGGAAAAACATATAAAAATCACGAACCGAAGATAAGAATTTTACTGCACAGACAAATTACAAGAAGATTATATCAAACTTTATAACCCTAGATAAATATAAAGAGTGAGACATAGTAACCCTAATTGAATTAGGATCATAAACCCTAACAAAATCAATCGAGATTTTTTTGCGCGGGAAAACAATACAAATAACCTAGATCTAAACATAAACTAAAAAGACAAACCTTAAAAGATATGCCCCCACCATCATTTACATTTCTCACCGTCACCAAACAAAAAAGAAAACGATTTTTCCTGCAAAATTACTTGTCGTGTTCTGGACATGTAATAAATATGTGCTACGTGTCAAGTAAAACTCATGCTGATCGTACGATTTCAAGTGACCGCTAATCGCGGATTAATTCTGAAAATGTTCAAAAAGAATTCGACCAGATCTACAAATATCTAGAGTGCCATTTCCTGGTGACCGTAAATTTTCAAACACGAGCGGAGGAAGGGAGTTTAGTGTTTACCAATTGGATTGACGTTGCCCCAATAAGTTTCCTTCTGAGGATGCTGAAGAGGATCTCCGTAGACTTCACTAGTACTAGTTAACAAGAACCTTGCTCCGACTCGTTTCGCCAGTCCTAACATGTTCAATGTCCCCACCACATTTGTCTTGTAAGAGAAACACATTCATTAAGGAAAATAAACAACAACAAACGCATACAGCGAAATCAAAAGCTGTGATGATTTTAGAAAGAAAGAAAAAACGTATAGTGAATGAAAATTTTAGAAAATGATAAGGATATGATTGTTTTGACTGGGTTGAATTTGTAATGAACTGGCGAGGCGGGGCAAGCGAGATGGTAGATCTGGTCAACTTCCAACAGCAAAGGCTCAACGACGTCGTGTCGGATGAGCTCGAAGTTCGGGTTACCGAAATGGTGCATGACGTTCTCTTTTCTGCCGGTGAAGAAGTTATCCACGACGATCACGCTGTCTCCCCTCGCAATCAACCGGTCCACGAGGTGAGACCCGACGAACCCGGCTCCGCCCGACACGACGATTCTCAAACCTTTCCGTTTTAACCCCAAGGGAATCTTACCCGCCGGGTTGAACGACTCGAACCCGAGTCGGTGCGGGTGTGAAAACTTGTTATGGGCTTCGACGGGGAAGTAGGTGACAGAATCGGGGATTGGATCGGTAAAGTGGTGGTGGGGAGCACGTGAGGTTGGGAAGGCGGCGAAAACCAGAGTGGCAATAGCAATGCCGACGAGGACGAAGATAAGGCGTTGCTCCCGCAGCAGGTAACGAATCGGACGGGTGACGGAGGCCCATGGTTTATCGGGTTTGGGCGAATACGAATCCGAAAGAGGCTGAGACTCGTGGCCCCTGTATATCAGCTCCGACCCCATAGCTCTTCCAACTTCAAAACTCAAAAGAGAAACAAATTCAAATGAGTTGGTGAAGACGGAGTCGCCAGCGAGTTGAGGAATATATAAGAAGGAAATAGCCAAATAGGAGACTATTAAATACAAACTAGTGCTGGGCTTGGGGTATTACAGAAATGCCACGGGCGGTGGCTTTTGGTTGTTTTCTAAAGAGGTCTTCTAGTCTGAAAAGTAAACGATTGCCATTAGCTGCTGTGGAATGAATTTCTTTACCAAAGGAAATGGGGTTTTAACTTTTAAACATGGTTAACTTTCACTATTATTAATTCTTTTAATAAATAGGTTGAGTTTTACTCATATTTATTTTAATGGAAATTTAAATATACTTCGATTAATAATTTACATATTGTATTTTGTAATGATGATTCCAACCATAATTATATGAATATTTTGATTTTTTATAATTATTTTTTATACTAAGTATTGTTATTTGATATACTATTAGTGAAAAATAATTTTACAGACAATTTAGATGTAGTCAAGTATTGTTATTTATATGACACTTAATTATATCTAAACATTATTTATAAAATTATTTTTTATTAACACTATTTATATAATTATATATTAATCATTTATTCTAGATATGATAATAATGAGTTCGAGAAATTTTTTGAATAGTATGAGATTACTATAAAGTAGTATATATTCATAATATTTATTAACCAATGATAATGCATACACACTAAACTAATTGCTCAAATTAAAACTTTAAAGTAAAATAATATTTCCTTTAATCACTGAATTCATTCAATATTTCATTTAAAGAAAAAACATATTACCCTTAAAGGGATCTCAGTGATTAAAAATAATTTATTCTCCCTTGGTGATCCGAGTTTGAATAACATAATCTACACATGAATGTTAGTATAAATCTAGATCTTTTCAAAAAAAAAAAAGATTATTCAAATAAATCGAAGTACGTATACAAAAAATTATATAATTTTTAATTAAGTTGATATTATTATATTAATCACAATAATTAATAGTTTTAAAATTTTTTGTAGTATGTATATTATTTTATAAATAAGTAAAATTAATAAAATCTTATCAAGTAAGTTTGGGCAAGAATATCACGTTACTATGGTTGACTTAAAAATTCATTTTTTTTTAACAAACCTAACTTTTTTATGGGGTTTGATAGATCATTAAGTCAAATTATAAATGTGATGTCCTTTTTATTTTTTGAATCATTAATGTTATGAAAATTAGATCAGTGGCCAAAACGATTAGATTGTGAAATGTATGTCTCGATTTTTATTTTTAACAATTCATTATTGTTATACCTTTTTAATTTTATCTTATCGTTCTAACAGGTAGAATTATTAATTCTTAACTTAATTCGATCTTTTTGGTTGCACCAATATTATCTGACCTATTGATCGACTAATTCAGGTTGATTCTTGCAAAGACTTATTATAGAGAAGTTCATTTCAATCCAATTTTCTCTATATATAACATCAAGATTCGAACTTTTAATTTTATTATAGAAACTTCATATTTTATCTTGTTGAATCAACTAATAATCAATACCACTCGAGTCAATATCCTTTTCTGGATTGTTATTTAATTCGCTGATTGTTTTTAAAGTGCAACTCACTTCATGTGAACCAGCGTTGACGAATTTGGGCATATTCGAAATCTTTCTTCTAACTTAACGCTAATTTAGGATCTCAGTTTCTTTTGGTTCCTTAAACGACAAGGGATCCGCACGTTTTATCAGATCAAAAGGAGCACATACATTTTCGTTACAATGAAAAAGATGTTCCAATGAAAGATTTCATCGGTACAGGTATACTTTATTTAATCTTAGGGTAAAGTATAGTAATGGTCACTGAACTTTTCTAAAACTTGCAGTTAGTCCCTCAACTTTTAAAACTTGCAATACGGTCCTTCAACATTTAGTCCGTTTGCAATATGATCTCCGACGTTACACTGTCGTTAGTACGTTTGCAATATGGTCACTAAACTTTTCAGGCGCTTGCATTTATGTAACACACCTGACTCGTATCTAACCCGAATACGAATATGATGTGTTACATTTGACTTTTCAAAACGTATGAAATATACAATTCGGAATAAATTAAAATTTTGTATCAAAATACAAAGATATGACTTCTTTAATAAAATAATCATTTCGTGTTTCTTATAATCATAAATTGAAAGAATAAGCAGTAGCTTTTCTATATTCGCGTTTCTTCCACGTTCATCCAAAATGTAAAATTTTATTAAAATAGAATAATAATAAAATGAATTCATTAAATAATCTCAATACTAAAATAAAATGTTGTTCTTTCTGGATGTAGTATGTTTGAGCAGCTGCGTCTGCATTGTCAAATGGTTAAAAAAATTCTGAATAAATATTACCTTATAATCACCCAAACTATTCAAATAATAACAATAAATATTATTAAGATAATGACAACTAAATAATCATAATAGTAAAAATAATAACACAAAAGTTTACAATAAAACTTTTAGGAGGAAAAAATATTTATGACAAGATTTTTATTATAAAGATTATACTAAGTATAAATTAGTCCCATCTAAGTATAAATTTAATTGATGTACTAATATAAATTGTTTATAAACAACATGTGCCAAGCGGGAGTTGACAACTTTAATTAAACTATCATCACTCTGTTTTAGAAGGTTGGGCCAATTCTAAGATGTTATTTAATTTCAAATTGAGGTGTAAAAAACAAGAAGCAAGAACCAGTTAAGTTCAAATGAAGACTTATTCCAAATTAATAGACTGTTTTCAGCGTCCACTTGATATTATATTTCAACATCAACACGAATTAAACGACCTTAGTTGTTAAGAAATTATTGTTATCCTTTAAGGTTCCGAGCTCGAGCATCACTTATATAGGGATGTGCACGTTTAATATTAAATAGTTAAGATTTTTCCAATAGATAATATATTGTATTCAACTTATGCTAATAAAAAAATCAAATGTTAAAAATTAATATTTAAGGTAATGTTAATAATAATAATAATAATAATATCATTTATTAAATTAATTAGAGATTTAAAAATGTGATAATAAGTTCAATTTATAATTATTCATATTAAATTTGAATTTTAAAAATGTTATTGTTGATTTTTTTTACTTAGTATGATCTTAAAAATACAAATATTATTCTCAAATCGTAGTATATCTAACTGTACAAATATCGTTTGTTAAAATATGATTTTATTAAAAGCTATAGTATTTGACGAAATGTGTCTAGATAAATATGATTTTATTAAAATTGTTTGTTGTAGTAAAGAAATTTGTAACACAAAAAACTATCTAGAATTGTCGATGACTTCGTCAATAGTGTATGTCAGTGACAAGTTAACGTCTTATTTAAGATGAGTAAGCGTTCGTTATAAATTTAAAATTTTGGATTAATTATCTATCTTATTGATTTTGTACATCATGAAATTTTATTTGTGCTCATCTCGTATAAAATTTTTTGTTGTTAATATATACGTGTCCGCCCTTAAAAATATTTATGAATCTGTCACTGTTGTACATAGTCATCGACGATTTTAGGACAATGATAATCAAACAAAAATCAAATTAAGTGAAAGAATCAACGATTAAAGTAAATAAAAAATGAATAAAAATAAAAATAAATTTACTTTGCTAAAAAAGTACACAAAAATTTAAAAGATGTTGAGTTAATTGCACCATATATCCTTATACTATAACTCTCACTCTAAATTGATCCTTAAATTTTTAGACATTTCAATTTCATCATTAAATTATGAATCACATTCTAAATTCATTCCCGAACAATTACTCTCATTCTAAATTGATCTGTAAACATTTGAATGTTCCAATAATGTCCCCTAAACCATTAAAAAAATTGGAGGAAAAATTAGAACATTCAAAAAGTTTGGGAACCAATATAGAATGAGGGTCATAGTTTCAGGTAAAATTATGACATTTAAAACTCTAGAGACCAATTGAGAATAAAATTAGAATGTTTAAAAGTTTGAATTCTAGTTTAATAGAAAAATAATAATTTAAAGACACACAATACAATTAATTTTTAAATATTGAAGACATAAGCATAAATCAATTTTTTTTATTAACGTAGGGTGAGTACAAAATGATATCTGTTAAAAAACTCTCAACTATTTAACATTGAATACTTATATTCTTGATATATCATCGAAGTCAATAAATTAATTAAATTGAATAATAATAGTACATGTATATCTTTCGATTAAAATATATATTTAAATATTTTGAAATACTAATATCTAACCTATGTGCCAACCACCGCCATTAGGCACCCTCTTATACCCTGAAATTCAATTAGCATGTATACTCAAAGCCTCTATAAATTGATGTCTCTATCATTGATAAAATCTTATTCTCATATGTAATGGGGGGAGGAGGAGGTAAGGTAATAGGTTGCCCCCAATGCCAGGTTGAGAGCAACTTTCGTGAAAGACCTCCAGCAATCAGAATTGTGAATTGCCCACCGTGAAACTCGATCCCACGACCACAAGGTTAAGAGCCTTGCGCTCTACCAACTAAACTGGACGGGAAATTCATGTCTTTATCATTGAATTGCGTACTAATAATAATAACAATGCATTATCAGCAAATTAACAGCTGTAGAGTTTAACTTAGAAAAATGGGATTTGGATGGTTCTCTGTCGGCAGGATCAGTTATTAGAAATGATTTAGCCTATTAATACTATCATTATCAACTAGTCTCTGCTTCAAAGTTCAAATCACCCTCAAGTTTGCACTACCTCTGTTGAGATTTCCCTAGTTGTATATATTTTTTAAAAAATATTTCCCATCAGCACGAACCACATATACAGTGTTAATCTATAAAATTTAAGAACATGTCTGTACATGATAATTAAGATTATATTATAAAAGAAAACCTACTGAGAGGGATCTTTCTACGCTCTTGTTCTATTAAAAAATGGACGAGTGTATAACAATTAATATTCCTAAATATTTTCAAAGTGGACTAATTTTATGACATTTGATAAATAATCAAGCACACAGAAAGAGTTGCACTCGTTGACGATTCATGGTGGGTGGATTCAACATAAAATAACATGGGCATTAGGATTATTTCAATCTTTTCAATGAAATTAGAGAGATTAGGCTTTTTTTTATTAAAAAAAGCCCAATAATATCATGGGCTAGCTACCGTAGCATGCGAGTATATGGCTCATCTTGAGAAATTAGATGACCCTATTTCCATATGTAATGGGGTGAGGGGAAGGTAAGGTAGTAGGCTGCTCCCAACGCCAGGTTGAGAGCAGCTTCCGTGGAAGACCTCTGACAGTCAGAATTATGAATTGCCCACCGTGGGACTCGATCCCACGACCACAAGGTTAAGAGCCTTGCGCTCTACCAACTGAGCTGGACAGGCAATACAAAATTAATTGACTCTATCCCCATATGTAATGGGGGTAAGGGGGAGGTATGATAGTAGGCTGCCCCCAACACCAGGTTGAGAGCAGCTTTTGTGGGAGACATCCGGCAGTCAGAATTATGAATTGCCCATCGTGGGACTCGATCCCACGACCACAAGGTTAATCTCATCTTGAGAGATTAGACTTTTTTTTTAAATATAAGATGTTTAATTATATAATTTTAAAATAATATAACTATTTGAATGAAAACATATAACTAAGAGTTACCAATTACATCTAATCCAAAAAAAATTATACCTAATTACACCCTAATCTAATTATATGACCATTTTTTAAATGAAATTTAAAATTAACATTTTTTTTTACTATGGAAACTTTGTTCTCAGCTTTTCAAATGAATTATTTGGTCAAATAATAAAAACATATAACTAAGAGTTACCAATTACATCTAATCCAAAAAAATTATACCTAATTACACCCTAATCTAATTATATGACCATTTTTAAATGAAATTTAAAATTAACATTTTTTTACTATGGAAACTTTGTTCTCAGCTTTTCAAATGAATTATTTGGTCAAATAATGTTTTTAATCCCTCTATTATGCTTACATTTGAAATTTAGTCTTTACACTTTCATTTCACATAATTTGAAATTCTAATTTTATAATGTTATTACTTAATCCAACTAGATAATATTGTTAAATATTCCTGTTAAAATGATAACACGTATTTTACTTCCCCAAAAGCCTAATTTTTTTTTTTAAAAAAAGAAGAAGCTTTAAGGCAGGGCGAAGGGGCTTTACACTTTACAATTACATGAAGTAACTATTAATATCAATACATAGTTGCATTAAAATGGTATTATTTGATGCCTGGTGACTTCACACCGAAATTAAAATCTGAACCTATTTGTTCAGCCGGATTTATGCTAATGTACATATCTTATTCATCTTAATCCCTTCTTCACTCCATGATCGTCGAGGATGGTTCAAGCTTTACAACCCCGAGGTTGCAAGTTTATTGACCAAAGCCAAAGCATTGCTCGTAAAATACGAGCATCTCAAAACCCGGTTGCGCAGCATTTTAGCTTGCTTACCCTTGGGATTCTCGAAACCATCCATGCAGGTGTTTTGATCGGTTAGTGCTGCACTCAACCAAGTCGTCACGTCCCCCATCTGTTCGTAAAAATTCCCGGCACTCAGATTCCGAAGGACCCCGAGTGAGCCGTGTAGTTGGTCGATAGCATTTTGAAAGCACTCGGTGCAATCCGAGACTGGGATTCTGTATCTCCCACTCATCTCTTTGTATTTCTTCACTTTGATCAAGTACTGGGCAACCTTCTTGGTTTCCCCTATGGTTACCGAAACCCCGGCTCGCGCCCACTTGCTCGGACTTGTCTTGGCGGAGCTGGAAAATGGTGCCAGTGTGCTGATACAAAGGGCACGGTATCTGGTCACACTGCATGCATCTTGCACGTAATTGCTTGCTGATTGACCATGTTTTAGGACGCTTAGGAGAAGTAAAAGTGGAAGGTAAACATTGGCGTTTGCCATTAGCATCGAGTTGTGTGAGCTCTATGATTTCTATGGATTTGCAGAGGATGGTCCTTTATAAAGGGAAAAGGTGGAAGGGGAAAGCGAGAGAATGGTGAGTACAATAAATTTCAGATTGGTTTTTGGAATAGGTTACAAAGGATGAAAGTGAAGAACATGTGAAAGAGCTGGTGAGTTACGCATGAATTTGGATTCAGATTAGATCTGTTAGGTTTCTTCCCTTTTTGATTAGGTGGAGCTGTTGATTACTGTCTGCAAATGATCAAATCGTGCACAAACAGCAGTTATCATTAACAGTAATCGGAAAGCATCACTGCTTACATCAAGATTAAATTCATTCTTAGATTTCAAGCAAATTCTATTATTGTGAAAAAGGTCACATCCGGTTGTTAAACTCAGCATAGGCTTTAAGTAGTACTTATAAAAATAAAATTAGGGTATAGTTCGATTTAAACTCGATTTTTCCTTTTAAATTTGAATAATAAAATCGACATCGTTTTGATATTTAACTTAATAATTTGATTGTTTTGTGATTTGATTCTTTATTTAATTATTTATTCAATCTCTTTGATTTTTAATTCATTTTGACCAAATTTGAATCTTATGCCATTCAATCAAAGTAGAGTATTTGTGTAACTTTAATTACTCTTTTTGACAGTAAATTCCCTCTTTTCTAATTTAGTCCCTCAAATTTTATTTTATTCAATTTAATCATTTTATTCAACTTTTTGCAAATTCATTATTTCTATCGATTCCTTGACTTCTTGTAATCTCATCAATACTTCATCCTCAAAATTCATTCTTTAGAAAATAACATTATAATTTTGTTATATAATTTAATAAGATATCTAATTTATTAAATAACATTACAAATCTTACTTACATGTGTGAAACATATATATATGATTACAGATAGTCGTTTAAATTAAAATTAATCAATATCATAATATTATATATAATTATATTTAAATTTAAATTTGAATAGAAAATCAAACAAATATATACAATTTATCTAGACTTTAATTTTCATAAACTCAACTTGATTTTTTTAACCCGTAGGTAAAGCACAGCAAATGAGATAAGAAAGATGAAATGTCTAATAGGCTTACTGTGCAAAACAACGTTATCAGCCAGGCAGACCTATAAGTGGATGATGTGCTGAATAAGTACAGTTTTCCGTTAATTTGGGTTGTTTTTTTAGCAGAAATATTAATTTTAGTTTAGGGTAAGTTACTGTTTTACCTAAAAGGAGAGGGAGAAGGGGGTGATAAAATCCCATTTTGTTTGAGTCACGTGATTATATCAAATCAATGATGCAATTCACATGAATGCAGTGATTATGGCAGCTGAAACATCGACTTTACCTAGCGAGCCTCGCAGTTTCTGACAAATTTGAGGGCAAATTGCAGGTGCATTGAAGCATGTGATATGCACACCAAGGCCTTCATCACCAGTGTTAGTGTAAAGCATTGCTGCATCTTGGAGCTGTTGCAGAAATACTATGAACATAACCAATTGGCCGAATGGATCCGTTCCATATGTACCCGTAAACCCGCTCGTATGGTGTTTTGGTAATTTTGTGGCCGCCTGATTGAAACTACCGAAAGTGTGTAGCTAAATTGAAAATTTTACGGTGCACAATCCATCTGATCGAGATGTTGTATTTTCGTTGGGACTAGTCTTTTAACTCTGCTAAATTACCTTGGCTTCCCTTCCCTTCGAATGGATTGTTGTTGTTTTGAGCCTGTGGGTGTGGGAGCAAAAAAGGATCATAAGAATGTTTGTATTTTCTTATTTTTACAGTCTTTTAATAAATAACTAAAACATTTAACAATCGTACACAAGACCAATGAATTCATATAAAATCGACAAAGGTGCCATAATTTGCAAATATGGGCATAAGTTTATCAATTTGTAGAGTTCCCTTTCAGGCAGTCACAAATTTGGATGCAATCATTTGGACAAACCGATTAAGAAGCATTCACAATCAAACTTGGACTTATCTAACAAAACTATGGAGGAAGCTCCTAGACCTGTTGCCAGAATCCAAGCTAGTAACATGCCCCCCAACCTGTTATTCTTGTTACAGTTGAACTTGGGAAATAAGATAAACGTTCTCTTTCGAGAGCGCTATAATTATTTCGATACAAACTCTCTGCTTCATGAAGGTTCTGACCTGATGAACTTGATGGAGGATGGACATAGACGCCACCAGTTTGATCAAGTTGTGGGAGTGGGACTGTAGGAGACACACCTCCCGTCATACTAGGAACTACAGGAGCAGGCACACCAGATTGATTGAAGTGCTGCTGATCGAACTGATTTTGCTGCCAATAAAAGACAACAGATGTCTGTACCAGACGATGGGCATGACCGTCGCTTCCAGGATGACGAGGAAAAACTGAAGACACAAACGAACTCCCACCTCTAGAACTGGACCTATGAAGGGTAAACAACCAAGTAGTTTTATGGTGAACAGCATCGGTGAAGGGGGAAAAAAAGACAGGTGAACTTTTCCTGCAAGTTCTAATACAGGTGAACTTGAGCTTTATGAACACAGATAACACAGACCATATTTTGTCGTACCTAGAACCAGAGAGTATAAATTATTACGCATATATTCAAACCCATGTTAGCTGGTACCTAACCCATTTTCAAAGGGGGGATGATGTGGAAAAGATCTGGGCCTAGTCGAACCATTAGGTTCACCGGTAGAAGATCTCTGAGCTGCAGCTAGAATAGAAGCTGTATCAGTTAATTGGTGCCTTGGGTGCATGATTATATGATACAGAGAAATTGGAGAATGCCGCCCCCAACTATGATATCGGATGCTAATGTAGGTAAAGCACGGGAGATAAATCTCATTGTGCCCGGCGAGGATATTCAATTGGAAAATAAATTTGGGACCATCAACTCTATCATTAGATCTTATACTTGTGGGTGGAAGTGGTCCAACATAAGCAAAATATGAATAACAACAGATGAAGTAGCAGCATGTTCAGCAAATGTTAGGATGATCTACGTGAAGAATAAATATTATTTTTGTGTCACATAGTTGTCTCTTCATTGTGTCACCAAAGGAAATGAGATGAAGTGATTTTAATCATAAGAACTTACATGTAGTTGATGGAGATTCCACTTCCCTGAAAGATATAACAAAGCAGCAACATGTCAGAGACAGCACAAAAGTTTGTATCTTATCGAATGAACTGCCGAACGTTTTGAGTAAACAGACAGCAAGATTCTTATGTAAGTGAGTTCCCATCTTGTTTCACAGAAGAAAAATGAGGGATCCGACCGACACCACAAGATAAACCATTATTATTTATTAATAATGATAAATTTGGGACTAATAGTATTTGTTGAGATGGTTGAACCATTATTATTTATTAATTTCACATGAATTTTTCCTTCTTTTCAAATTGATCGCACATGATTTTTTTTAATATTTTTATATAAATTTATATATTCTTACTTTGTTATACTCCGTATTTAATTTACTAACCATTATATTTTCAATTTGGTAATAATTATTACCAGTCACGTTAAGTTGGATTTTATTACAGAACCACTGGAGGATACCATTTTAAATAATTTGAATTTATTATTTTTTAAGGAAATTTGGATTTTATTATTAACGACTATGTCTTTGTCAGTTGCAGATGTAATTTCCAAACGAGTCTGTTTGAAGCAATCGATAAAGAGAGAAGAGATAATCCGAAAATTTGGCCTTTCCCCCCTTCATCCACCGCCAATCTCCGCTGTCATCACCTGAAAAATCCAAAACCACACATCATCATCAGTTTCCTTGTCTTCTTGAATTGTTTTCCGTGTTCTTGTATTTCTTATTTTGGGTTGAAAGGATAAATAATTATTGCCAGAGAGAGAGATGAAGTTCTGCAAGAAGTATCGGGAATACATGCAGGGACAACAAGAGAACAAACTACCTGGGTTTGGTTTCAAGAAGCTCAAGAAAATTTTTGAAGAACTGTAGGAAAGACGCTCATGGAGTTCTTAACGTCCAAACTTGTCCTCACCATTGTTCAGGTATATATATATATTAATCAGGATCGGTTATATGATTTGAATATCAATGATTTAATCTTGACCCTTTGTTCTAATCTGTACGAAATCATGACTCGTTCACACCTTGATGAAAATCAATGGCCAGTGTGCGACGGGACCTTCTTCCCCTCCCTTCTCAAGGAAATGTCGGACGTAGTGGGTTGTTTCAATGAGCGTGTTGGGAGATTGCTTGAACTGCACTTGGCTTCGGGCTTTAGGAAGTACTTCATTTGGTTCAATGGTAAGTTGCAAGGAAGCCATGTTGCCTTGATCCAAGAAGGGAAGGACCTGGTTAAGTATGCATTGATTAATGCTAATGCGATTCGAAAAATACTGAAAAAATACGATAAGGTGTGTTCATCTCTGTTTCAAGAATCTGCTCCGATGGTGATTCGTCATGGTCGAAAAGATTCGGTTATAATTCTGCTCTCGATGCAGGTTCATTTATCGAAATAAGGGCAAACCCTCAGGTCAACAAGCGCAAAGTATGCACATCGAGGTACTTCAATCACCATGGCTATGTGAGCTCATGGCTTTCCACATCAATTTGAGGGAAACCAAGGCCAAATCATCCCCTGCATTGTTTGAGGGCTGCTACCACACATTTAACGATGGCAACTCGTTCCTTTCTTGTGAACTCTTCGATTCCTTCAATCTGGACTTGACTTGTTCTCTATGCTTGGTAAGTTGCAGGATTTATTAGCTCAGCTGCTACTTGGGTTCTTCCCTGACGCGAGACATTCCATTTTCTTCCTTTTGTGGACATATATTCTGCTACATGTGTGCTTATTCAGCTGCATCGGTCACCATCGTTAACGGACTGAAAGCAGCAGAGTCAAAAGAGAAATGTCCTTTATGTCGAGAGGTGAGTGTCTAGGTCCCATAATTAACTTCACCTCTGATATTCCTTCTGTTTATTGCTTGTTATTCGAATAAATACCTTTCCATTTCATTACAGAGTACTATGCAGTGTATATAGACATGAATGTAATCCAATCTCCAGTGGAATGTCCTGTGCAAACTAAATACCATGTCCTACTTTTGCAGGCTTGAGTTTACGAAGGTTTCTTCCATTTGGAAGAGTTTAGTATATTGTTAAAGAGAAGGTATGACTATTATTTTTCCTAAAGATGAATGAATATGTATACATATGTTATAAGAATCATGGATTCGTCTTGGAACAGCTGTCGTGACTACTGGGAGCAGCGCCTTCAGACGGAAAGAGCAGAGAGAGTTCGACAGGGAAAGGAACACTGGGAATCCGAGTGTTGAGCTTTCATCGGTGTCTGATTATACCAACTTCCCGTAAATCTACATTAACCCCTTTTTATTCTCTTTGCTATATATATTTCAAGTGTTGTATTTCCCATCATTCTTCAATAAAATTTCAAAACTGTCATTTGGCTGACGTTACAGATCATTTGTAATAAAACGGGGAAAATCGAAAGATTTGGTTTATAATCCAGAAGAACGGTTGGCATATTCCTTAACCAATGCCGCAAATAGTGCCGGCTTCTCGAGCAACCGTGATGGTTTGTCGAACTCTTTTGCCTTTCCTGTGTTAAAGGAAGAAAAAGAAAACAAGGGATTGTTAGCCATAAAGTTCATGTGACAAACTGTGAATGCTCGACTTTAAAGTATAGACGTGTCAGACACCTATATGAATGAAGCACGCACCTGCATCGACAACTAAAACCCGATCACAGTCCATGACTGTGGGTATTCTGTGAGCGATGCTGATAATTGTGCAGGCTGCAAAGTCTTCTCTGATGATCTTTTGGATTATAGCATCAGTTTGCGAGTCGACAGAAGCAGTCGCCTCGTCCATGAACAAAAGCCTGCTGCGCTTAAGCATAACTCTCCCCAAACATAGAAGTTGTCTCTGCCCCATGCTCCAATTGTCGCCATTATCAACCACTGAATTTTTTCAAGGTATTTAGGGGATTCTCAGGCACCATTTCAGTGAGTAGGCTACGAATAAGTTAGAATCGCTTACCTAAAGAATCGAGTTTATCGGGTTTTGAAGCCACAACATCTTTAAGTTGACAACGTTCGAGGCTCTGGGAAAATTATAAACCTCCGGTGAGTGGAAACAATGAAACATGTTCATTATGAGATATGACTTGCTTTTACCTTCCATATCTCTTCATCTGAAAACTGGCCTACGGGATCGATGTTGCTTCTCACGGTTCCTTCAAAAAGGACAGGTTCCTGAGGGATGATTCCGAAGCGTGACCTGAGATCATGCAGTCCTAGCATGCAGATATCTATACCATCAATAATTATTTTCCCTGCGGTTGGCTCAATCAGTCTGAAGAAAACTTGGATTAAAGTCGACTTCCCACTCCCAGTCCGACCAACGTCACCAATCTTTTCACCCCCATTAATGCTCAGAGTAATGCCTTTAAGTACTAGAGGAGTGCTTGGACGGTATCGAACCTGTCAGCCAAAATCATAATAAGCAAGTGTTCAACAACATGCTGAAGGGTATTGTAAATTAATTTCTTCCATGCAGGTTACCTGAAGGTCTTTGAGCTCCACATTGCCATGAACAGGCCAATTCGGAGGGGGAAGACGGTCTTGAATATGCCATGCCGCCTCCGGCTGAATACTTGAAAATTGCTTTATTCTTTCGACAGAAACCATCCTGTTTTCCACAAAGCAACTCATATATATGGCCCAGTACAGTACAGCGTTGAGGGACAATCCATACGAAAGAGATAACCCAACATTTTCTGCATTAAGCAAAGTAAGTTGAGTTTATTCAGGAAAAGATCCATGAAAATCATAAGAAAACTGTTTATAGAACTGAGATTGCGGCATACAAGTACCTGGCCTGACAATGCTGCTCGGTAAAAAGATCATAAACATTGTAGAAAGGCAGAGAACTACACTCCCAAAAAATTCCAAACGGAATCCCAGCCATTCGTTAGAGCCAAAGTTGTGGAAATTCATGCGTAAACTGGAATTAACTCGGTTAATGTTTTCCTGACAAAACATATCCTCCTTTCTGAATGCACGAATTGTCATAACTCCGGAGATACTTTCGGAGAAGTGATGGATGACAGGAGCATTAGTGATCGAGTCAAGGCGGGTTAATTCACGTGATGTTGCCAGATAGTATCCCTGCAATTCAAGAGAACTCAATATCATTAGGACACTCAGATAAACTAACAGCTGGGCCTGATATCAAGAAAAAATATATGTATGCAAAAGTTTTGAGATTCAACATGTTTTGGTGAATAAGAACATGCTCACTACATGATCAACATCTTATGAAAGTGAATTGAAACAAGAGATCCGTACCCGATACCAGTAATTCAGCCAGCCGAGCGGAATTATCAAGAATATTGTGGACCAAGCATATTGACACGTGATTATGAAGATACTGAGCAGGGTGGTGTACATGGAAATGGCAATCCCCATAATAAATGGGATGAAGATATCGACATTGGTCTGATCAGTCGACGCCTGTGGATCGAAAGTGGAACAAACCTGTCAGTTCTTGGACACAATGCCTACTTCTATCGCTTGCTTTTCGGAAATAAGCATATATAGATATGTTGTGATGAGCGAGTGCCGTAGTTCAATCCTTGAATTCTTACCCGGCTTAAAATTCTTCCTGAAGGCGTGGTATCAAAAAAGGACATAGGGGCGTGCAAGATGCTCTGAAGAATTTGACTGAAAAAGATTTGTGCTGTCTTGAGCCCCATAACTGTAACAAAAAAGGCTCTGATCGCTATCAACACCACCGACAACGCTGCTATGATACCATAAACAGAAATGAAATGCGAAGGGTTGAACGATGGAGCACGTTCAGCCGCAGTTTCATATGATAGCCAATAATCGCCAGCCATTATCGAAGCTTGCCATATCAGAGAGAAAAACAACGCAACAGCCACACCCCACCAGCCAAAAGCCTCAGTGCAGTACATTTTATAGACATGCAAGCTGACTTTACCGGTTTCCCTCTCCTCGTCTTTGATTAGCCTAGAATCACCCTTATCAGATTTCGAGTCATCTTGGGAGTTATGTTCACCATTTTCTGCTTCCCCAATATTCGAAACATCACGAGGAGATTTCGATGTTTTGGGGGAATTTTCACCTGGCATTGTGTTGCCTGCTTCTACAAGTTCCATGGCCGTTTCGTGTGCAGCTACCAGAGCTCCAAAATCCATGCCCGTGTCTAGCAAATCATTATACTTCCCCGATTGTGTTATCGTCCCATCTCGCATCACCTGCAGTTTACAAAAATAAATTCTTTAGAAATATGAAAACGAGAACATGTTTGCATATTTTTCCAAGAACCAGATCATACATGCCTACTTACCAAGATAAGATCAACATCATGTAGGAAATCTACTTGATGTGTTACGAGTAAAATAGTCTTCTCTTTGAGAACTCCTCTCACACATTCCTGCATATAAAGCAGGCTTGAGATTCAGCGACTTGATCTATCATTTTCGGTCATTATAAATCGAAGATATAGGATCGTTTTTTTTAACAAATGCACAATGTTCAATAAGCAGAAAACAATGTCACCTTAAATATATCCGACCCTGTATGAGCATCAACAGCACTAAAGACATCATCGAGAAGGTAGATGTCACAATCCTGGTAAACAGCTCTAGCTAGTTGTATCCGTTGCTTCTGGCCACCGCTGAGGTTAATTCCGCGTTCTCCGATTTCAGTCTGATCACCAAACTCCATCATTTCCAAATCTTTCTCCAAACAACAAACCCTTATCACTTCCCTATATTTCAACCTGTTCATTGGCGAACCGAATAGGATATTGTCTTCAATCGTCCCATTCTGAATCCAGGATGACTGAGCTACGTATGCTGTTGTCCCACAGAGTTTAACCTGACATACAAACAGAAAGAATTTAACTATCATGAAATGAAAACATCAGCTTCTTCACCTTCAGACTTCATACCTTTCCTGATATTTTGTGCATTTCACCAAGAGCTGAAGCCAGGATAGAAGACTTCCCGGATCCCACAGTCCCGACAATGGCTGCGAGCTCCCCTTTCCGGATCTCTAAATTTATATTTTTCAAAACAAGTTCTCCATTTTCATCATCCCAGCTAAATGAACCATCTTTAATTTCCACCGCGACTCTACCATCGCAACCTTCCTGTCTCTCCACCGATGAATCAGCCAATTCCTTGCTCATCATGAAACGATCTAATCTGTCCAATGATATCATTGCCTGTGAAAGTGAGATCAAGGATTGTGGGAATGTCCTGATTGGTTCCTGCAAGATCTTAAAGATACTCGTTGCAGTGAACACTAGCCCTGCATCAAGTCTCACTCCAAATAAAAGTGCTGTCCCGAATGTGAGGGTCGATACCAGCACAGGTGCTGACCACAGTACAATCAAAGTGCAAGCGAAGGAATACAAGAATTTGCATAACCATCCGAACTCAGTTTCACGGAAAGATTGGATTCTTTTATTGAAGTGTTCTTCCCATGCCTGGAACCTGATAACCCGCATGTAATTAATCATCTCATTCGTTGCCTTCATACGCAAGTCACGATTCTTCATCAGATCGAATTGAAAACGTTTGTTCCTTCTGGTTTCAATCACCACAAATACAAGGACGCCAAGAAGTCCAAGCAAGGATGTCACGACCGAAGTGCCGAGGTACCCATACAAGAGAACCAAGGCGACACAAATCTGCACGGGAGTCGACCAAATGGAATGAAGCTGGAACATCATATCTGAGAGCTGTTGAGCATCAACAGTCATGTAATTCACAATCTGTCCAACCCCATGAGCTTGACGAGCAGAGCAGGTTAACCTCAACCCTTTCTTGTACAAAGAAGTAATAAGAGTGCAGCGGATGAGCATTCCGAGTTTCTGAGTGTTGAAGTTAAATTGGTGAGTGCTCAACACTTCAACAAACTTAGCAACAAGAAGAATCAATATAAGGTAATATCCTTCATATTGAGAGCTTCTTTTCCCTGCAGTGTAATTAATGAAACTTTGGATCAGAATCGGACCGACATACATAACGCAAAGCCGAACGATTGCGAGTGATGCAGTGAATGCAAGTTCCTTCCAAAAGCACCGTAGCAATGTAGTTCGAACAGGGTGCTTCGATTTTTCCTCTGGTTTAGGCCAATTTACTTCGAAGAGCCCAGACATCCTCTCAGTTCTATGTTCCGGTGAAAGAGTCGGAACATCGTCCATTTTGAGAGGGGATTGGTAGCCTTTTTTCAAAAGAGGATTCAACCAGATCCAGAAGGCCTTTGATAATACTGAAGCTGAAGCAAAAGCACTAGTGTTGGATTTGCTCAAAAGGGGTTCATGCAACAACTTGGTTTCTTCTTCGTCCACTGCTAGTTCGGGTTCACCGCTCAACGTTATACCAGTGGAACCTTTAATAGCAACAAGAAGAAGAAGAACAGACAAAGGAAAAGAACTCAGGGAAACTATATCATCCAACCTCAAATTCTGACCCTGATTTGTTCCTACAGACACCATACGAATGATCCCAGAAGCAGCAAACAAGGAAATGATGATGAAATTCGCAATCCAATAAATCCGGAGAGACAATGGGTGGTTGATAGCTTGAAATCTCTTCTCATGGATGATTAAGATAGCAATCACAGCATGAGTTATGGCTTGAATCAACCAAAATATTCCATCAACTTGCTTCCACGGCGCCTGGTTACCTCTAAATGAGAGAATGGATATAATAATGTAACAAAATGAAAGGAGAACCGTCGCAGTCAAGGAAAGCTTGAAGTATACGTTAGTACTGGAAGCCGCCCTGTTTCTTCTTATGAGAGGCTTGTCGATGTCGGAGCTGCCATGGCTATTGCTTGAGAATCTAGAATAGAGCTTGTGAACCGCAAAGCATAGGAGGGTGAGCAAGAACAGGAGATCAACGGCTGAAAATATAACTCTCTGAGGACATGGAGCGAGGAAAATGAATTTCAGCCATTGGATTATCATAGGAACAGATGCCTCCTTGGAAGATTCAATCACAGAGCTTGAACACGAAAGTGTAGTAATCCAAGTAGCAGAAGACATATTCACTCCAAAATTTGAAATAACACAAAAATCTCGGCTTTTTCAGATTGTAGACGGAAAGTTCAACCTTGTTTTTGCCATAAGGAGCTCCATGGAAAAATGAATCAACTCAGATTTTTTTCCCGCTTTTACAAGCTTGTCGTCTGGAGAAGTAGCTCATAGATTGAAAGGTTCAAAGTATTCAACATTGTCGGCTTTCCGGAGGTTAGTGAAAATGAATGAAGAAGTCACCGGAGCTCCTAAGGCCCAAGAGAAGTATGAACATATAAGTAATGATGATACTATTAAATATGAAAAAAAATACAGTTGAATTCAACATGGGAATTTTTCCAACTTCCTTTAAAAAAAATGGAATCATTGTGGAAAAGGAAAGAGATTTTCTTGAAAAAGGACGTCAGGGAAATGAAATCAATAAAATAAATGTATTAGGTAAACAAAAAACTCCATTAAAAAAACAAAGAGAATCAATAAAATTTAGGGTAAACTACTCTAATGATCACTAATATTCGGGTAAGTTTTAGTTTTTACTACTCATGTTTAAAAAGTCATAAATAGGTCACTAATGTTATCGTTTGTTATAAATTGGTCACTCGCCGTTAACAGGAGTGACGGAAAACACACGTAGACCGTTAACAGCCGCTAACATTCTTACCTTGAGTGAAATAATGCAAGCCAAACCATTAAGCCAAAGTAACCACTTGATATATTTTGGACAACAAATGATATAAATATTGTATCTTAGTATGTAAATGTTTTACTCAAAATTAATAATATGTTATATATCTTAAATTTTAAAATTATCTTTATTTTTGTTTTAACTTATTAATATTTTATTTTTGTCTTAATTTAATTAAATGGATTAAAATGAAGGTTAATATTCAAAAGTTTGAGATCAATTTAAAACGAGAATTATAATTTAGAAATAATTTGGATCATTCAAAACTTTTATGATCAATTTAAAACGCCAGTCATAATTTAAGGATACAAATAAAATATTTAAAAATTAATTTATAATAAAAAATCATAATTTAAATATATGAGTTACAATTAACTCATAAAAAATAGGTTGAATTTTGAATATAACATTGTTATAAACTCATGCATATGCAAAATAATATATATGGATATTATTTTGTTAAATAATGTAAAATTCTTTTAGTTTTTACACATATTTAAGATCGTTGGATGAGATTTAAGATTTTGTTAAATAATTTAAATATATATGGATGAGTGTAAATATATAGTTGAGATTAATAATAGGAAATGAGAAGATATTCAATGAAAAAAAACAAGTAGTCAATATCAGTCATATATTTTCATTCATCAAATGGTTATAAATCTGTGTAGAATTGAAGAGTTTTACATTGTGTAATTGAATCCTAATCATATATATAGACTTTATGTTAAGGGAGACGAGCTTCTAAAATTTTAGGAAGTGACATACTTATAAAATTTTATAATTTTATAGAGACGAAAATAAATTTTTAATAAAAAATACATAAATGTAACAACCCGAAAAATTGAAAAAAAATATATATAATTGTAATTTGGGGTTTTAATTAAGTTAATTAGTGAAATTTGAGGATTTAATTGGAAGTTTTTAAAACTTGTAGCATGTTTTAAAAAGTGGAGGAAATTCAGTGACCAATCACTGAATAATGCCAAGGAGTGTCGGCAGATTGTTCTTCTTCTTATATGCGTGCAAATTGTTTCTGGTTTCATACCAGAACAATTTGCTAAGTTTTTACCCCCACGCATCTCAACTTTCAACCACGATCCTGACGTCGTCCGACCTCCGATCATTGTTTTGAAAACACCATCGTGTTCATCATCGAGCGAGGAACAAATCCCTTAGATTAATTGAAGCGAAACGCTGCCAAACGCCGGGAATTTCCAGTCAAAGTCTCGATGTATTTTTTTAGCTAAATCGCCGAGAAAATCTTAAATTCATCGCTGATCGTTGCTCCGTTTACGACACCTCCCGCACCATCGCGTTCCTTGTGCCGTTCCGAGTCCGCCGGTGTCATCCTCGATCTCCGTTGACGGCGGCGCGTGGGGAGGTGGATCAGTCAAAGATTCGGCCGAGTCGAAATCGAGCTCTCCGCCGTTCAAAAATTTGAACCGATCTTTGTAAGTATCTCGAAATCGCTCAAAATAATTTTTAGAAATTTTTCCGTGATTTTTAGAGCCCCGGAGGACGTCGCACGCGCCCACACGCGCCGCCGCAGGCGAGTGAACGTTGGAAACTGGTTTTGACCGGTTTAACCGGTTTTGAACCGGTTTTGACCGGTTTTGAACCGGTTTTGACCAGTTTGACCGGTCACTACCCGTTTACCGACCCGACCAGTTTACCCGACCCGACCCGTTTACCCGACCCGTTGACCGTTGACCGTTGACCGGTGCTATTCTGGGAATTAATTCAGTTTTGGTGCTATTCTGAGAATTAATTCGAAATGGGTGCTATTTTAGTAATTTTTCGAAAAAAAAATAATATTTTGGGAATTAATTTGAAAATGGTGCTATTTGTGTAAAATGTTTGAAAGTTTGTTGACCTACTTTGACCAGAACTTTGACCGGCTTTGACCGGCTATTAAACGACCTTTGTTTTCGACCGAGAATACCTATCCTGATAGTTTTCGACGTCCCGAATCCGTTTTTGGGGTCCGTTTTGCTAAATTCAAACCCGAAAGTCTCCAAATTGTCAGTCAAAACCGTTGACTTTAATTTTGACCAAGAATTCGAAATTTTAGAAGGTCATACTTTATGTTTTTCGACGTCCTGAGTTTGATTCCGAAGTCTATTTTGCCAAATTCTGACCCAAAATTCCCAAATCGAGCATGTGAACTCAAAAAGGCTTAGTATCTTAATGTTTTGATTATTTTTAAGAGTTTTGGTTAAGGAATTGATTCGACAAAATATTTTATGAAGGTACTCGTGTTTCACCTGAGCAAGGATCAATTAGGTCCGGTGTTATCCATTCGTCAGATCAGTCTGAACCGCGTAATACGAGAATTACCCGTAGGTTTCAGTATATTATTTAAATAATATTTAGATTATTTATATTAGGATTCCAATAAGGATTTTTCCAATTCGTAGGGTCTAGCACTGCAGCAGAACGTGATCGACATACCCAGTAATAGGCTTCCCTATCTGATTTCCCAGACTGTTACAGGTGTGTTTCCTAACAGTATTATATTACTGATTTAAATAATTTATCTGAATACCGAGTATTTGATATTTGATTTGCTGTATATTCTGATATAACTTCTGAATTAAGGTATTTCATACCGATTTCTGAGATCTGCTTATCTGATATCTGAATCATTGATTTGAATTATGATTTCCGTATTTCTGTATATGGTTTCTAAGTATGAAATATTTGTTATGTTTTAAGTGATTAATCATTGTTTTCAATTTAATACATTCATTGTCATTTGGGGGGGGGTATTGTTGAAGGAAGATTATCTGCAGACTTCTCGGCTTTGTGCTCAGGGTCTAAATGGCATGTGCGGTTGGGTGTATGGTTCTGGGGAACCTACACAACTATGATGTGAACGGATGGGGGTAGTGTTCATGTTTTAAAAAAATGAAAATAAAAACATATTGCATAAACCGATTTCATTGAAAGATTTTATCTGTATATTTTTCTTATATACTGTATGGAGCACACTGAGCTTTTTAGCTCATTCTGTAGTTTTTACCCTTTTTCAGATAGTAGCAGACAGTAAGCTAGCAGATTTGGCATCAGTGGAAATCAACTACTTATTTTGTACGAACATATATTTCTATATGTTTTTCAGTTATGTTTGGTGACATGTATTTGCTATAATTTTGGACATATCTGTATTATTAATATAATGTATTGTAAGATAAAAAAAAAAACCTCTGAATGGGATATGTGACAACTTAGGTTTGAGTCTAACTCACAGACCGGGTCTAGGGGGTTACATTTGGTGGTATCAGAGCTTTCGGTTTTAAACACTCGGACTGTACATGGGTCCTAAATTTTGGATTTTTAAGAAGAAAAAAAAATGTCACCTTATATTATGATTTAAAGTTTTCTCGAGATCCCTGATGCTAATCTGACACATGTTTCAAATTCTTTCTGTAGAGCCTTATAGATCCAATGATGAATGCTGCTAGAGGTCGTAGGACAGGACGTGGACGTGGTAGAGGGCGAGTCACTCGACCTTCTGTTACGATAGACGATCCGATATCACCACGTGATCCTCCTGTTCCGCAAGTAGATCCGACTCTTTCTCATGATGATCAGTTTACTCCTATGGGAGACCCTCCCGTCACTGAAGATGAGGATTCTGAGATGAATGAAGACGCCATTAATAGAGCTATCTTCCGCATGTTTCAGAGAGCTGCTAGAGCCCCTAGTAACATGACGGCAGTGGAGATTTCAAATTCTCTGGTTGCTGCTGGTGTAGTACCATTTGAGGGTATTACTGGTGGACCTCCGACAGACGCTGAGTATTGGCTGGAGGACACAGAGAGGATTATGGATGAGATGGACCTCAGACCTGAGCAAAAGTTAAAGGGGGCCCTAACTATATTGAAGAAAGAAAGCTTCAGATGGTGGCAATCCATTTCTGGTAGTATTCCGAGGAACCAATTAACATGGGATCTTTTCAAGACGCGCTTCCGGAGTCGCTACATCGGAGAGAGATATCTGCAGGAGCGACGCCAGGAGTTTCAGAATCTGGAGCAGGGTAATATGTCTGTTATGGATTATGAGGTTGAATTTATCCGATTGAGCTGATATGCTCCTGGACTTGTGGATACTGAGACAGATCGATGCTTGAGGTTCGAGAATGGACTCAGGTATGAAATCAGGAGTCGAGTCGCTACTCACCGAGAGAGGAATTTTGATGCTTTGGTTGAGATAGCCAAGACTGCTGAGGAAATAGAGCGACTGGGTATGGAGCACAAGAGAGATAGTGATCGAGCTCAAACCCAATTCAGGAGGCCTTCTGGTTCTGTTAATTCTTCTGCACATCCTAGCAAGAGAGGCAGGGGTGATTCATTTCAGAGAGGCGGTGCGAGTGTCAGACCTGTTGCATCTGGTGCTTCAACTTTTCAGTCTACTAGACATGGTGAATCTTCTGGGTTGCAACCTTTGCAGACATGTGATTACTGTGGGAAACATCATCTTGGGGAATGCAGAAGAAAATTTGGCACATGTTTTAGATGTGGTTCTAGTGACCATATTATAAGG